TTTATAGAATTGCAGTAAAAAATATAAAAAATAAAAGTAATACAATATTTGAAAAAATTATCAGAATTTTTCTCAAGACAAAAAACTTTTTCAACAGTTTCAACACAAAATAAAGAAAAAAAACAAAAAAAACTTGTTAACTCATTATTAAATTTCAATAAAAAAAATAAAAAACAAAGATAAAAAACTATACGTGAAGATTTTAAACAAATTTCTAAAAAAAAGCAATATACAGGATACGCCAGAACTCGCACCCCTAACAAAAATGCCATAAAAAAAAACAAGACATATAAGACCTGAAACACGACTTTTCATGAGTTTCAACCAAAACATTTCAAACAAACAAAAAAAATAAAAGAAAAAAAAACTTTAAAGAAATACAAAAAACTTTAATAACAGTAAGTATCAAAAAACAGTCTAAAATAAATCGAAATTTACATGATGTTAAAACAAAATTTGAAGTATTTTCTAATGTTCAAGAGCAGCAAAAGTCAGAAAAAACTGTTTAAATTATTTAAAATAAAAACATAATTTTAAAAGTTAAAATACACATTCTTTCGCAGGATAAAAAAATACAGTTGCACCAAAAAAAGTACAAAAACATACACAGTGTGTTTCCGGTTAGGTACGACTCATGTAGAAGATAAAAAAAATTAAGTTTTCATGTTTTGGGGTTCTGCTCTACTTCGTCAAAGACTAATTTCTGACATAATTTTAGTTTAAAAAAAATCAAGTATGCTTTAGAAATTTTCAAAAAAAAACTATTTTCCCGTAGATTATCTTGGAAAAAAAGTGACTCATAGTTTGATGATAATTTTGAAATTATAGTATAGGAGCTAAAAGTTAATTCTAAACAACTTTTCTTAATAAGTTTTTGTCGTATTTGCCACATAAAAAGCACTTTCCTTTGAAATTGAGAAAAAATTTAATGTGGTTTAAAAGTAATACAAAATAAAAAATATATTTTACTATGGATTCGAAAAAGTACCTATATTTACAGTATAAAATAAGAAATTACAGAAAAAAAATTAAAAATTTAAATATTAAAAAATACATACATTGGAAACGACCACTACAACACATTCTAGATATATCTTTTTTTAAACAAAAATGTTTAATCATTTTTAAATTATTATTAAAATATACACAAATATATACAGAAAACTTTTTAACACGAAAAACACCAATTTCAAAAACAAAACTATAGAATTGCAGTAAAAAATACAAAAAAATAAAGAAATACAATATTTAAAAAAATTATCAGAATTTTCTAGACAAAAAACTTTTTCAACAGTTGCAACACAAAATAAAGAAGAAAAAAACAAACAAAAATTGTTAACTCATTATTCAATTTCAATACAAAAATATAAAAAACAAAGAGTCATAAAAAAAGATTTTAAACAAATTTCTGAAAAAGCATAATACAAGGTGCGCTAAAACTTGCGCCCCTGAGAATAATGCCATATAAGATAAAATACCAAAAAAATGTTAAAAAAATTCTATAAAAATTTCGAAGTTATAAAAGTTTTAAATTTTGCACTTTAACTCTATTTATTTCTGTTGGAAAAATAATTTTTCAAGTTGTTTTGGTACATGCTATTAGAAGAGGAAACAAGGAAGCTGTATCCTAAATTGTAACTCTGCTTAATGTTATTTGTGGCTTTTATTGACAAATTTTTTGTACTTGCACTAAATAATTGTAAAAAAAAAACATATACAAGATCACCAGTATCATTAAATAGACACAAAAAATGGCAAATGTCAAAAAATAATTGTCCAAATTTTTTGACAGATAGAATTAAAAAGAAATTCCTGGTATCTTATCTTACTTGAAATTTTTCTCTGGGGCGCGAGTTCCTGTATTAACCCATTGAAAATTAGGTGGAATAGACTCTCCAGAAAAACACTAATAACACATTTTAATAAATGCCAAAGAACTTTGAAAAAAAATTCAAAAAAATGCAAAAAAATGTTTTGTAAAGAAAATAATAATAGTTCTAATCTCTGAAAAAAAAACCGGTAGAGTTTGATAAAGAAACATCAAAAGTTAGGAAAGTTCCCCTTCAGCAGTGCCAACCTTCGACATAAATCGTGCCAAAATCGCAAAATAGCCCCAAGTTTCCTGTTTCAGACGCCCCGACGTGCAAGCCGAACCAAAGTAGAATTTACGGTGTTGCGAAACAAGAACAGGCGCAAATAACATGTCAAGTCGATGCAAATCCTCCCGACGTCCAATTCCGATGGACGTTTAATAATTCTGCAGATTCCGTCGATGTCGCCCAATCGCATATCGCCAGAAGTGGGACGTCGAGTGTAGTTTCTTACACTCCAATGACTGAACTCGATTACGGGACGCTTTTGTGTTACGCTTCGAATAGAATTGGGACGCAACGAGTGCCCTGCGTATTCCACATCATCGCAGCCGGTGAGTGCAGGGGCGGATCCAGGGGGGGGGCTATTTAAATTTTTTTTATGAGGGTAGGTATACAGTGAGCGGCAAAATTATAGAATAATCTTATTTATTAAAACTGAAAATATTTAGTTTTGGAAAAATGCCCGAACAGGTCAATTTTCTTTTTAACAAATACAAAATTTTTAACTTGATTTAAAATTGTATCTTTGTTTTTTATTGATATTATTTCAATTTTTGGATAATTTTTTTTTAAAATGGTGTTGCCATTTCGACAATTATCTATCGAATTCGCTAAAAAAATAGGAGTTTCCATTAAAAAAAAATGTCGCTGATGTCATTACCCAAAAACCAAAAAGTGTAGAATAAAACAAGTTGAAAATAGTGTATAAGGTGTTCTAGCGAGTTGGTAAAGTTCATTATTCAAAAAGATATAAACTTAGTATAATTAGATACCTAAGATGTGGCCCAAAAAAATTACAATTGATGATTTAGAGTGTCGAAGGATCAAGATAATTTGTCCTTGTATCCGAAAACGTACGTCCTGTGCGTATGTCTGTGAAACGTCAAATAAAATGACAAGTGAAAAGGTAAAATCCCATGATCAAAAAGATAACTAAATTTATGATTTACTTTCCAAAAAAGAACGGTCTTATTATTATACGTCGGCGACTAATTCCAGCCCATTTTGCCGTTTTCAATTTGTCATTTTATTTGACGTTTCACGCGCAGTTAGTTCAAAATTAAAAATTCGGGCAGTACCTATTTTTCTGTCACTTTAAAAAGTTCACTGTAAAATACCTTTTACTGTCATCATGACTGACATTTGACAATTAAATTTATTTTTATTTGTTGTTAAATTTGTTAATTAAACAATTTGTCTGTCTTAGGAAATTTATTAAGATCTGCTGCCTACACGTTATTATGCCACAAATCACTATTTTTGAAAGTAAATAAGTCAAAATGACATAAATACGACAAGAGTAAAAAATGAGGTTATTAATATAAAGGTTGTTTTAGAGTTTACATTATGAAAATGACAGTACTGCCCGAAATTTTAATTCCGAACTGTACGTTTTCGGATCCAAAAATGATTACAAATTATTTTGATCTCTCGGTATATGTATGATTTGTATTAATAAGTGTGATTTAAAAAGAATTTAGGTCACAAAGTTTTTATATTAAAATTTAAATATAAAAAATTGAAGCTTTTGGTGGCAACTTTGGGGGGGGCCTGGCCCCCTGGGCCCCTCCCCTGGATCCGCCCTTGGGTGAGTGACTTTCTAATTGTGCATCGAATGCCCATAACACTTAGTCCCGGAAGGGCCTTTCCGACTTTCGCGAGAAATATACTAAAGCCCACTTCATACATATTTCCGAACCTGATGATACTCCTGACGTGAATTTTAAGTGAAAAAAACACAAGCTTCCTCCTTTTACGGCCAAGAAAGGGGCCAGGATTCAATATCGGTGCCCATTAAGCTCTATAAAGCATTTATTTGTTGTTGATTTGGGAAACACGCCAAATAAGAGTTTGTTTAATAAAAATCTGTTTTATTCTCCAGACGATTAATTATCCGCGTATTTGTTGTGTTTAAAGAACAACACCGTAAATACGAATTTGAAAATGAATAATTATTCGTGCGAGGCGTGCTTTGTACTCTCTTCCTTTGTATAAATTGAAAACGAGATTGTTATTTTAAGGAGTTACAAATGCAGATCCCCTCCTAATTCAATTTCGTAGTGTCTCTTTGTAAATAAATTTATTTCGATTTTTGACTCAATAGGAAAAAAGAGAATGAATGGCTGTGATATCTATCGCTATAAATTATCATTATTCTTCGTAACGTATCAGATTCCGTGTTTGACATTCGCTTTGACAGTAACACCATTAAGCACTCTTCTTTCGTGTTTATGTATTTGTGAATAAAATCCGGGTTAATAGATTCCGGAAGCGTAAAAATTTGAGAAATTGATTTTCTACGTGTTTTCCTAGACTGACAAACACTAGATGGTTGTTTTTTCCACATCTGTTTCCGTCAGCGAAAACACAAAGACCACAAACTAAAAACCTCGCAATAATCCCCAAATTCCCCGTGTGAGCGCTCCACCTCCCCCCTATAAATAATTTACATATTCGGCGTGTTATCTTGCGGAGTAACATCGCGAATTCCTCCTTCCCATCCATCTCCCACGCCGTTTCGGAAACAGTTTAGCCGTTCAGGCAGCCGTTCCATATTTCATATTGTATCAGTGGATTAGAACACAATGCTTCGGAAACGTTGTCAATCAGTTGGAGTTTTAAGCAGCTTCGGTTGGCAACAGTGCACGATAAGGTTCGAGTAAATGGCATGTGACGGGGAACCGCGTGCGTGTTTAATCATGCGGTGCATGCGACCACATAAAGTCCCTGCTTAAGGTCGCAAATTATTCATATAGGCATTATATATGAACTGGAGTAAAGCCGGAATAAAGCGTTCGAACATCCTTTAAATCATGCATAAAGGACGCCCGGACGAGGATCCACGCCAATAAACTTTCTTAGGAAAACTGTAAAATCCGACCTTTGGAATTTTACAAGAAGGGAGGATGTGACTAATGCACGACGATTCGATTAATGCCACAAAGACAAGATGGGGGCCGAAGAACCATCGAAACGATTTAGGGACAAGGGATTTACATCGGGGATGTGGCTGAGGCGAAGACAACGCAGGGATTACATAAACACAACTATGGGATTGTCGGCTCCACCAACAAGTCTAATTTCCACCAAATTATATTTTTTGGGATAACAACATGTTTTCTTCATCAGACTCCTTTCACATACTCTATTCGTTATCCGCTTTGTCCATTTCTTCTTTCTTTCTCTTTCCTATTCTTGAGTTTATACCGAAACATTTAGATCTTGATTTAATTGTTTTTCTTCCTTTCATCACTTCTATCAGTATTTCTTCTTTCTTGTTTTTGTGTGTCTCTGTGCCTCCTTGCAATTACAAATCATATCTAAACTTCTTCTTCCTTTATCTTTTACATTTCTTCTCCTGTCTATCTTCCTTTTATAATATCATTTTCTACTTTCATGTCCATATTCTATTGCCGGGCGCCATTTTGATTTCTTTTCACCATTTCTGCAAAATCCCTTTCATCTCTCCTATCAGTATTTCTTCTTTCTTGGTTCTTTGTGTATCTAAATCTTTTTTCTTCTCCCGTCTATCTTTCTTTCATAATATCGTTTTCTACTTTTAAATGATCTTCTTCCACCATTTCTGCAAAATCTTGCATTATGTTCTTCTTTTGATGTGCATACTTTATCGGTCTTCTGTATTTTAACTTATTGCTCTCTTTTCCTCTCTAATTTAGAGCAAATTCTATATTTGTGGTCTTCTTTTTGTATTCAATGTGTTTTTTTTGTTAGTTAATCTATTAACATATAGCCTCGAGTTTCTCTGTCTAGGCCTAACACCATCTTCAGTATATTGTGCAATGCTTCTATCTTCTTTTTTATTTATATTTTTGTCGAACATTTTACACTTTCTGTCTTCCTCTTCCATTCAGTATCTATTTCTTCATTTCCTTATTTAAATCTTGATTTAATTTTTTTTCTCCCTTTTATCCCGCTCATCTAAGTATTTCTTCTTTATTACTTATGTGTGTCTTCATGCAATTGCAAACCATATCTCAACTTCTTCTTCCTTTATCTTTTACATTTCTTCTCCTGTCTATCTTCCTTTCATAATATTGTTTTCTACTTTTAAATGATCTTCTTTCACCATTTCTGCAAAATTTTGCATTATGTTCTTCATTTGACATTCAAACTTTATCGGTCTTTTGTATGCTTCTTCTTTTATTTTAACTTCTTTCTCTGTTTTCCTCTCTACTTTAAAAGCATCTTTAGTATGCTTCTTCTTTTATTTTAACTTCTTTCTCTCTTTTCCTCTCTAGTTTAAAGCAAATTCTACATTTTTGGTCTCCATTTGTATTCAATGTCTGTTTTTTTTTTTAGTTAATTTATTAACATATAGCCTACAGTTTGCCTGTCTAGGCTGAACAACATCTTCAGTATATTGTCTGCAGTGCTTCTATCTTCTTTTTTACTTCTTTTTTAACTATATTTTTGTCGAACATTTTACACTTTTTGTCTTCCTCTTCCATTCAGTATTTATTTCTTCATTTCTTTATTTAGATCTAGATTTAATTGTTTTTCTCCCTTTTATCTTGCTCATATCAGTATTTATTCTTTATTATTTCTGTGTGTCTCTGTGTCTCCCTGTAATTGCAAACCATATCTCAACTCGTTCTTCCTTTATTTTTTACTTTTCTTCTCTTGTCTTGCATTAGTTCTTCATTTAATCGTCAAACCTTATCGGTTTTTTGCCTGCTTTTTTTATTTCAAATTCTTTTTGTCTTCTCCTTTCTATAGCAAATTTTAAACTTTTGGTCTTCGTCTTTCATTCAGTGTCTGTTTCTTCATTTTAATGTCTAGATTTTGCTATAATATTGTTCTCCCTTTTCATCCTTCTTCTCAATATTTATTCTTTCTTGTTTCTGTGTATCTCTGTGTCTCTTTGCGATGTAAATCATATCTCAACTCCTTCGTCCTTTATCTTTTACATTTTTTAAGCATTTCTGCAGTATCTTGCATAACATACTTTATTTTATCTTCAAACTTTATCGGTTTTTTGTCTGCCTCTTCTTTTATTTCAACTTCTTTTAGTTAATCCATTATTATACAGCCTAGAGTTTCCCTGTTTAGGTCTAGCATCATCTTCAGTATATTGTGTGTAGTGCTTCTATCTTCTTTTTTTCTTCTTTTTTTATCTATAATTTTGTCGAACATCCCTTGTGCGAGTTCTTCTTTTTTTTCCAGTTCTTCCATGTGTTCATTCTCTTTGTTATAACAAGTCGCTTCTTTCTCACTCTTCCCTCTTTCCGTTTAATTTTCTTCTACATTCTTCTCATTTTCTAAATACTGTTTCCTTGTCTAGCCTCAACGCCATCTTCAGTATTTTATCTGTACTTTTTTCTTCTAGTTATTTCTATATTTTTGCCAGACGTCTCTTCTTTCTTCGTTCTTCTTTCATCCCCAGTTCTTTTATGTGTGTATTCTGTTAACCCAAGTCGTCTTATCCACAAACACTTTTTTCTTCCCTTTTTTTATATATTTTGGTTAAAAATATCTATTGTTTGCTATGATTTCTTGTTTTTTAGTAATTTTTTGGCTAAAATATTAGACATTAGACAATAAGCCTTAATATTTTTTCCTATTTTGCACTGCAACTGTTAACTGTTTTGTCTTAATAAAGTTCTATTTTTTTTATACCTAATTTTTTCTGTGCAAGTGGAAAATTTGCTTGGCGCATTTTGCCCCATTTCTATTTCACCTTTCTTCTACATTCTTCTTTTTTGACTCCCATTATCTTCTTCCAAGTTTATCTATCTTCCTCAAAAATTCCCTTGTTTTCCTTGGCAAACTTTTTTTGTCAATTTTCGCCACCAAACTAAAAAAAACTCTAAAAGTTGCAATTCTGTGTAATTTAAAGCTTCTGAATTCGCTGCTGGAAGCCAGTGAATTTCTGCACGTCGTATTTTGTTGACCGTGTGTCGCATAAAAAGAGAAGTAAGCAAGTGGAAAGTAATTCGTCGGTTGGGTATAAAAACAGGGGACTGCCAGACAGGCGTCCGTACGAAAGGATAAATGCATGCATAAGACTGCTGAATCGGGCAAATATTTTAACTCTCGTGGAAAAAGCCGTCGACAAGAATAAGAAGCTGTCCGATCCTGATGTATCTATCGGGCAAAAATCGGCGAGTAAACCGACCGTGAACCAGAATAAACGATCTTAAAGGCCGTGCATTAGGATTGATAAACTCCACGACGAAAATTTTATTACGGAAGTCGTCGAGCTTTATACTTCCACGGGGCCTACAACTGTGAAAATTTACACAGGGATTTGCCGAGAAAAATCACGCTTAGTTGAAGGAGCCGAAGTATTACGAGGTTTTACCATGAGAAACCTGCATATGGATTTACGACGACAGCACGGAACAAAAAGCCAAAAAAATTTGTTGCCAAATCAAACCTTTACCTCTTCCTTAATTATTAACCCGAGTCGTTGGGCTTTCAGGTAAATTAATTAATATTGCAGAAGGCTTCTTTCGTGTAATTTATTAAAGCAGGCCTTTTGCCGACGATTAAAGTTTCAAACTCGCTTTGTAAACATCCCAGAATCTCCAATTACCAACAGAAAAAGCTCCATTCGTGATTTTTAATACTCGCTTTGGCGATTGTGCGAAATGAAAGCTTTCTATAACGTCCTTAACTCAGATGTATGTTTGTTCGTTGGTTAATTGGCCCGTTCGGTTTTCGTATTTCTCCCAGTTTAGCTCTTTCATTCGGTTGAGACAATATTTCTAAATCCTTCGAGCCACTTCAGTCTCTCCGAGTGCTTCTAAATGTGTAGGTCTCCTGATATTACTTTTTTATGAGGAGACTTGAAACAAAGAAGTTTATTCCACTTTCGAGGTGAAATAGGGTTACGTATGAATAGAAATGATTGGCTTTAAGACGAATCTCGTAAAGGAATTTGTGTCTACCTTACTTTATGGGCTTTTATTTGGCCAATATCGGGATTGGCGAGGATTTGCTCGCTTCTGTTTGTTCAATGACAGATGGGATGAAACGAATGAATTACTAACCCCTAGATTACTTAATCTCGTAATTAATTGTTGTCGCCAGGATTATGACGCAAATACCTTAGAAAGATAGTAGAGGCTTTGTTACACGCCACTCTACAGGGCGTTAAAAAATTGTAAAATATTCAAGAAGGTAAAAGTATGGACCAAAATAAACAAAAAACTCTTAATAAACATGAATTCGCAAAGCAACGGTTTCGGAGATATCGAATGTGAAAATTTTTAGAATTTGTACTAGATATGTTGCAAATAAATGTTTCAAAAAAATAATTTGAAATCGGTACTTTGGAGACCCATGTTCATTAAAACTTTTTCATTTCTGCCTTGTTTTACATCGTAATAAGAATTATGATATATTAAACAACACACCAGAATTCTAAAAACATTAAAAAATTTTAAAAATATTCAAAAAAACTAAAAATAGCATAAGAGCTTAACATGAAGTAAGACTTACAAACAAAAAAAAAATTTAATTCCCAAGTAGATCTTCCGAATTTCTTTATCTTTTTTATTATTTTCACTGTCTTAAGTTTTTTGTCGAGATTCGTAGTTTTATATCTGATTTTTTTGTATCGTTTTTATTTTCTGTTATCTAAAGTTTTTGTTATATTTTTTCACAATTGTTAAATTACCATTGCAGGTTTTGTTTCAACCGCTGTTTCATTTTTTCTTAGATAACTAATAAGTTTTATTCTTTAATTTGTGTTGCCGGATTGTTTTTTTTTATTATGCCATGACAATTTTTTGATTCTACTTTCTTATATTATTTTCAAATTTCACTGTTTTTTTTTTCTCATTTTTATTAAAATAATTCTTCTCATTTTCTTCAGATTAAGTTTTCAAGTTTTTATTTAGTCCAAAACACCTCAAGTAGACTTAAAATTGGTCAAGTCGGTGGCAAAATAGTTTTTTTCATTTAAAAATATTAGTCTTTAATACTAATTACGATAGTTAGAATAGGCAAAACACATATAACTAAAACATTTCAAGTGGACGTAAATCCGTTCTTGTTAGTGTCAAAATTAAATAAACCAAGAATTTTTCGTTTTTTAATATATCTAATAATAATAATGGTACTAATCGTAGAACAAAATGTACGTAAAACACTAAACAAGAGATTTCAAGTGGACTCAAATCAGGTTATTTTGGTGTCAAAATTACACAAAAAGTACTACATTTGTGTTTTAGATTGTAATAAGAAAATACAATACCAAAAATACACATTACATACCAGATCAAAATTCTAAAAACTTAAAAAAAACTGTATCAATATTAAGAAAAAAAAAGCATAAGAGCTTTACAACATTCGGTAAGTAAAAAAAAAACTGGCAATTAAATCTTCTTTTCTTCATCATCATCTTCATTTTCTTTAGTTTTTTTCGACATCGTCAATTTTTTATTTGATTTTCTCGTTTTAATTTTCTTGTTCTTTAAATTGTTTATACATTTTTTTTCAATCCAATACCGTTAGTTTACGAACCCACGTTTATTAAGATTTCTTTGTTTGTTTGGGTCCATACTATTACCTCCTAAAATATTTTACAATCTTTTGTTAAAACCTTGTATATCACTTAAAGTCCACTTGAAGTGTTTTAAATAAATAAAAACTTGAAAACTTAACCTGAAGAAAATGAAAAGAATTATTTTAATAAAAATGAAAAAAAATCAGTGAAATTTGAGAATAATATACGGAAGTAGAATAAAAAAATTGTCAAAGCATAATAAAAAAGGAAACTAATCCGGCAACACAAAACATAAAGAAAAAAAACTTACTATTTATCTAAAAAAAAAGAAACAGTGGTTGAAACAAAACGTGGAACGGTAATTTAAAAATTGTGAAAAAATATAACAAAAATTTAGAGAATAAAAAATAAAACGTTAGAAGAAAAAAAACGTAAAACAAAAAAAAATAATGAAAAAGATAGAACCACCTGACAATTTCNAAAACAAGAAAATCAGATAAAAAAACTATGAATGTCGGAAAAAAACTGAAGAAGGTGAAGATAATGAAAAAGATAAAGAAATTCGGAAGATCTACCTGACAATTTCAAATTTAATTTTTTTTGCTTATTATTTTACAATCATTTTTTAACACCCTGTATATCAATATGAAATTCCAACAGTCCGTGCCCCAATTCATCGCAAAGAAAATTCAAAAAACCAAGACTTTTGCAATTATTAAATTAAATTAAATGAAATTTTGTTTCAGGACGTCCTGACCAAGTCCACAACTGTACGCTATCCAACATCTCCATGACGTCCTTTTCCATTAGATGTTCGGAGGGTTTTAATGGCGGTTTACCGCAGTCCTTTCTATTAGAGGTGAGTAAAATCGAGTTTGGATGCAAACGAGACAATCACAACAATTTGAATTAAGCAAAATCAATGAAAGTCGCCCAAACGACCCAACAATGGAATTAAATGCGCGGAACAAAAACCGAATTAAAAGCACGAGTTGGCAGAGATCGATCAAGACAGTGTTTATTTTTTCAGGTTCGAGAGAGTCAAAGTCAGGAGATAAAAAGCAACCTTTCAGCTCCTGTTCCGAGATTTTCAGTGACAAGTTTAGAGGCGGGCGCCCAATACCAAGCTGCCTTGTTCTCCTACAACTTGAAAGGACGAAGTGAACCGGTCATCTTACAAGCTGCCACTCTACGACTTCCTGAAAAACAACTCACTGCCGAAAAAGGTACGTATAATTAAAAACTTCAGACGTGAGCTCAAAGTAACTCGACTTGAACGAAGTTTCATCGGACACCGGACTGGAAACGCAAACACAGAGGATCCCAACTTTGATCATAACACAGGGCGAAAAAAAAAGTCATGTCGTGACAACTTGACAAATTGTATATCATTTTGTTCGTCTCAGTAAGACAAAGCAAATGCACTAAAAAAAATTCAAAAAGTAAACACACTTTGAACTAAATAATTTAATAATATAGTATAATCATAATAAATAGTAATAATCATTACTCAATAACTATTAGGCCGATTTCCTTCAAATAAAGACAATTCTAAAGGGATGGCCTTGCCCTTTAGAATGATATAAAATTTGAAATTGAATATTGGCAAACTTTTCTTCGAACAGTGTTCGAAGAAATTCGAAGTAAATCGAAGTAATCTAAGAAAAACCCTACAAGTATTTTTTTTTCTTTGTCACCATAGTGTACAGCATCTTCTTATTAGTAAGAATCCAAATTTTTAAAATAATATACCGAGTAGTTTTCAAGATATGATTTTTTGAAGTTAAGGTTTGCTATTCAGGTATTGCGCCATATAGGAGAAATGCATGTTAATCTTACTTCAAATTGCATTTTTATAAAAGTTTTTGTTTTAAGACTCTTCTTTTGCTTAAAAATGGTCAATTGCACCTTCTTTGTTCTAATTAGAATAAACAAAAAACTGTTTCTTTACTTAAAACAAACAAAGAGTACCTGCGTACTAATTAAAGCAAATAAAGCGTTTTTTTGTTCTAAATATGATCACTGATCATTGAGCAAAAAGGATCTAGAAGTTTAAAGCATTAGCTTTAAATATAAGAACAAATCTTTTTCAAATTAAATGACTTTCCATTCAGATTCCAACCTGTTCACCTTGTTCTAGCCTTCTGAACTTTTTTTTGAAAATGTTCTCAGCAAATACTTTTTCATCACTTTCTACTGATGTTGAATGCAATAAATCAGTTGCTTCGTGTGAAACTGTTATCACAACAACTACTACCTACAAGCTAACTGAAGCTAATCGTAGAATTACCAACAAAATAAATCAGGTGATTTATTGTATTTAACATCACTCGAAAGTGATGAGAAAACATTTGCTCAGAACATTTTCAAAAAAAGTTTAGAAAGCTAGAACAAAGTGAACAAGTCGAAATCTGAATAGAAAGTGATTTGATTTGAAAAAGATTTGTCCTTATATTTAAGGCTCGTGTCTTAAACTTCTAGATCCACTTTGCCCAATGATCGGTGGTCATTTTTGCAACAAAAAAAACTCTTTATTTGCTTTAATTAGTACGCATGTACTCTTTATTTGTTTTAAGTAAACAACCAGTTTTTGTTTGTTGGAATTAGAACAAAGAAGGTGCAATTGGCCATTTTTAAGCAAAAGAAGAGTCTTAAAACAAATACTTTTATAAAAATGCAATCTTAAATAAGATTAACATGCATTTCTCCTATATGAAGCAATGCTTGATTAGCAAATCTTCAAAAAATCATATCTTGAAAACTACTTGGTATATTTTTTTGAAAATTTGGATTACAATTAATAAAGAGATGCTCTACACGATGGTAATAATGAAAAAAAAATTACTCGTAGGGTTTTTCTTAGATTATTTCGATTTACTTCGAACTTCTTCGAACACTGTTCGAAGAAAAGTTTGCCAATATTCAATTTCAAACTTTATATCATTCTAAAGGGCAAGGCCATCCCTTTAGAATTGTCTTTATTTGAAAGAAATCGGCCTAATAGTTATTGAGTAATGATTTTTTAAAGTTAAAGTATTTTAAATTCATTTAAATTAGAAAAAAAATATTTTGTTCAAAGTGTGTGGACCAAGGGCGGATCCAGGAATTAATTTTGAGGGGAAATATCTAAAAAAAATTTAAATGATGAGGGTAGGTGAGCGGCAAAATTATAGAATAATCTTATTTATTAAAACTGAAAATATTTTGTTTTGGAAAAATGCTCGAACAAGTCAATTTTCTTTTTAACAAACACAAAATTTTTAACTTGATTTAAAATTGTATCTTTGTTTTTTATTGATATTATTTCACTTTTTGGATAATTTCTTTTTAAAAAACTTATAATACATAATATTTTGGTGTTGCCATTTCGACAATTACGAGTATCTATCGAATTCGCTAAAGCATTAGGAGTTTCCGTTAAAAAAAATGTCGCTGTCGTCATTACCCAAAAACCAAAAAGTGTAGAATTTAGAACAAGTTGAAAATTGTGTATAAGCGAGTTGGTAAAGTTCATTATTCAAAGAGATATAAACTTAATTTAATTAGATACCTAAGATGTGGCCCAAAGAAAATTACAATTGATGATTTCTTTTTAAATTAGTAAAAACTAAGGAAGTATGGAAAGATCAAGATAATTTGTCCTTGTATCTGAAAACGTATGTGCATATGTCTGTGAAACGTCAAATAAAATAACAGGTGAAAAGGTAAAATCCCATGATCAAAAAGATAACTAAATTTATGATTTACCTTCAAAAAAGAACGGTCTTATTATTATAGGTCGGCAACTAATTCCAGCCCATTTTGCCGTTTTTGACTTGTCATTTTATTTGACGTTTCACGTGCAGTTAGTTCAAAATTAAAATTCGGGCAGTGCCTATTTTTCTGTCACTTTAAAAAGTTCACTGTAAACTACTTTTTACTGTCATGACTGACATTTGACAATTAAATTTGTTTTTATTTGTTGTTAAATTTGTTAATTAAACAATTTGTCTGTCTTAGGAAATTTATTAAGATCTGCTGCCTACCTGTTATTATGCCTCAAATCACTATTTTTGAAAGTAAATAATTCAAAATGACATAAATACGACAAGAGTAGAAAATGAGGTTATTAATATAAAGGTTGTTTTAGAGTTTACATTATGAAAATGACAGTACTGCCCGAAATTTTAATTCCGAACTGTACGTTTTCGGATCCAAAAATGATTACAAATTATTTTGATCTCTCGGTATATGTATTTCTATTAATAAGTGTGATTTAAAAAGAATTCTAATGTTTTTACTTAAAAAACTTTATGTCATAAGGTTTTTATATTATAAAAAAATTGAAGCTTTTGTTGACAAGTTTGAGGGGGGCCCTGGCCCCCTGGGTCTTTCCCCTAGATCCGCCCTTGGTGTAAACTTTTTAATTTTTTTTTAATGCATTTGATTTGTCTCACTGAGACGAACAAAATGATATAAAATTTATAAAGTTGTCACGACATGACTTTTTTGTCGCCCTGTGTAATTAAAATCAAAACAAATCAATGACAAAAAGTGAAATTTTCCGCAGTGAGGCAGCCTTTCCCTGCATGGCTCGAATATTATTTCCATCATCTCTTTTTGCGACACTTTAATTATTTTCCGCCATGGAATTACTCTCAGGAGGACGCAAAAATACCGTGCATTTTTAATATCGCTGCTTGAAAATCCGGCTCAACTATTTCCATTGTGCTCTTGGAAAAATATAAACGTTGCATTCATGTACGAAATTTTTCATTTCTTTAACGAGATTGGTCGTTATCATTGCAGACAACCACCGTTCCGCCTTTCGTTTTACGCCGATGATGAGTGTCCTAATTGGAATCGTCTCTGCGCTTTTGATTGTGGGACTTGTGGTGATTTTGCTGGTGCGCTTGCAATGCACTCAAAACGACGACAGGAGGAAAAGGCACAAAAATGCCGCCGTTTCAGGAGGGAATCTGGAACACAGAGGCTCCACTAGCGGACCGACGCTAAGCGACAAGGGAGGTGAGCGATTTTGTGGGGTTCTAATGAAAATTGCACCCATTGTTGCATCGAGAGAAGCTTTTTGAGAAACAGTAACAAAAATCCAATTTCGACTGAAAGCAGCGGATATAAATATTTTATAATATATAACGCCTAGCATTTTATGTCACTCGATTAACTTTTATATCGATAAAGTTTCAAAGTTTCTGCTTGCGTTTCACTACAGAATGGGTAGGCTTTAAATGATAAAAGAAAATAAATGTTTTAGTACCTAATAAAAGTTTCCAGAAACGTAATTGTCTTGTTTTTACGAAATGAACGTTTAATTATATCAAAAAGTAATCACAGACAATCAATTTAAAGCATTTATAGATGGAAACCTTTCACACATGCACACAAACGAAACCCTTCAATTTTATTAATTATCTCAATTAATTTAATCAAGCCGTACTTCGAAAACCGGTTTTAACTGCTGATCTAGAAAAATAATATTCCAAAATACGACAATTTTGACTACTCTAATCATAGAACAGTCAAGGATCACATTCTCTGTTTATTAGTTCAACTGATATGTGTCACACTGTAATACAAGAGTTAATTATCTCAACAGTGTGTCAGGTTATTGTATCATTAAGCCTGTACACTAGAGCCAATCAAAATATGGTATTGGATTCGAAACTACGCCAACAGGTCAATAAATTAATCTGAGTGTTATTTATTATCAGTTGAAGAAAAAAACTCATGTGTTATTCGGGGATTAATTATCTATAATTTTTGTTGTTGTCAAAGCTGGACCAACTAACAGTAAAAAATAGCAAAACTATAGTTACAGTTGTTATTATAGTAGCTTTTTGTTTCATAAGCTACCGAGCTACAATTCAAATCAAATTAAAAACGAAAAGTAAATTATAAAACTCTGACTTTTTTACAAAAGTTTCACAAAGTTGAAATTTGTTTATAAAAATTTAGAGTAAAATAAACACTTTTTCTTCAGAGTTGAATTTTTTCGTTTATAGAGAAAATAAAAGTTGTACAGAGATACAGAGAAGTTAGATCATAGAAACTTTTTCACTTTACAAGTTAGTAAACTTCGAAGTGTATTCGTACCTACATATGTGAGACTCTGAGACTAAAAAGTTAAGGTGATTTTAAATAAATTACAGATATAACAACAAATATTTTAATTTAAGTAAATAAAAATACAATAACACTAATGTCTAAATAACAAAAAAAGCAAATACTTCTTTAACGAATAGTGAATTGTGTACAAGGTCTTTATAAAAGAACGTATATCAAAAGTGTTGTGTTGAATGTAACATCAATATCTGTCAGTTGTCTGTCAGATTTACTAATTTATAAACACCTGTGTTGTGATAACATTCTTCTGAGCATTATTACAATATTTTAGCTCCTGTAGAATATTGCAAATGTTTTAATATTTCATTCGATATCACAATCTATACAAGCCATACGTTCAAGTAATTTTTACAACACTCTTTTATAAACACCTTGTAGAAATACTAACAGCGAGATCCTAATAATATGGATAATAAAACAACAAGAGAAAAAAATATATTAAAATTCCGTAGTTGTAGCTTAATTTTTACAACATACTTTTATAAACACCTTGTAGAAATACTAACAGTGAGATTCTAATAATATGAATAATAAAAAAACAAGAGAATTTTTTTTTAAAACTCCGTAGTAGTAGCTTAAATTAAAAAAGAAAAAACATAAACTAGTAAAATTGTAGCTTAGCTCATAAAATAGTCCACCTCTGGTTGTTTACAGATTTCGTTAGTTACATAGGTACTCCTGCAGTTCCCTCTCTTGCCCATTTCCATTTCCGTGTCTGTTTCTAGCGATATTTAATAACAAATGTTAAAATTTAAGTAAGAGAAAGTACAAAACTAAATAATTAAAAAAGCAAATACAACTTTTTTTTAAATTAATTTTATACAAGGTCTTTATAAAAGACTGTACATATTGACTCTCCCAACAAAAACTATAGTAAGTCACTCAAAATTTACAGTTTTGAGAAAAATTGCATTGAATCATTGATTGTTAATAAAAAATCAAGGAACTGTTTAATATTACTGAACATTGCTGCCGGTCTAAGTTTTGGTAATAATATTGTTTATTCAAAGGAATTGTTTCTCATTGTTTTTGTATTTTGGGCTCTATATAAGCCATCATAACTCAAAACCAATTTTAATAAGTTACTATAGTTTTCGTTGGGAGAGTCGATATATCAGGAGTGTTTTGCTTTGTCAGTTATCTCCCAAATTTACTACTTTTTGAACATCTGTCTTGGGTTAAATAACGATAAAATTGACAAAAATCAATTAAAAAAAAAAAAAAACAAGTAAAAATCAGGATTGACAACGTTCTTGTAAATATCATTACAATGTTCTACCAACCCCATGTAGTATATCACAAATGTTCTAAAATTCTATTAAACATCACTAAGGCTCGGATTATATGCACAAAAAATCCGTAAAATATGCGCATATAAATGCACGTTTTTTCACAAAAATAGGCACCAGATATTAAGAAATATACGTATGCTCCAATATGTACCATATGCAAAACTTTTTAAAACAAAAAATCAAAGTTTGGATAAATTTTTTGAAAAAAATAATTGATAAATAATAACGTACTATAAAAATGTGATGTTTTATCAAGAACAAGATTTATCAAAATTTTCTTTTGTTTTAGAGTTCTACAATTTATTTTTTACCTTAATTTTTTAAAATGGAAACCTATTAAAAAAACCTTTTGCTCATGAAGATTATGATCTAAGAATTACAACTATCTACTTTGTATTAAATATAAAATTTCTTCTTTACTTTTTTACTTACTTAAAATGCAATTTTGACAAAAAAATCACATAACTCAAAAACCAAACAAAATTTCGTTCTCAAAATACGTTCATATTTTGTATATTAATTACTTTAATTTGCATTAAGTATTATTTTCTAGAGGCAAATAATTAAAAAAAACTGCTTAGTTTCATATTTTATATTCACCCTGTATAAAACAAATTTAAAAGGGAAACACAGCGATGGAATAAAAGTTTCACTTTAAAGAAAATTGACATAAATTGCAATTTTCACAAACAAAATCGCATAACTCGAAAACAAAACAAAATGTCGTTTACAAAATACAATCATATTTTTTATTTTAGTGTAATTTATGTTAATTGTGATTTTCTGGCGACAAATGATTTAAAAAAAACCGCTTGGTTCCATACTTTATATTCACCTTGTATAAAACGAATTTAAAGAAAACACTCAGCAGGATACAATTTTTTGAGTCGGGCTTACGAATTATCGGTTGTTTTCTATTTAACATATTTTGTAATGTCCAATTTTTAACTTGAACTGAAATATTTTTAATGGAAATTTGTGATTTGAAAAAAATGTGCACAAATATCCAATATTTTATAAAATATGCACGAAGGTGGCAAAATATGCATTTTTTAATTGGCTTATTTTAATCAAAAAAACGTTAGATATGCATAGAAAACTTACAATTTTGTTGATATACCTCTTAATAACAAATATGCATTTTGCATACAGGGTTATTCATAAATATGAAGCAATATTTGAACCTCAAAAATGACCTATAATATGATGTTAATTTAAATAATAACTCGTGTCCTATCTCTACTGATAAGAATTTTACAGCCCTCGGAATGTGGGTATTCCATTTTTTTGCTCTCTTAACACCAATTTTTTATTGCCCAAATCGATAGAGTAATCAATTTCGATTAAAAAACGCATAACCTTTAATACCCCTAAAATGGAATGTTTCAAAGATATTTTAATTTAAACTGAGGACTGCACAACGCTGAAACCAAAAAGTAGGGATTTTGAATGGATGATATCCACGGTAACAAATGACCATGGTCTCACTAATCGCTGTCAGGCATCTGTCAACTTTGACATTGGACGATTATTAGACAATTAATCGAAAATATTTAATAAAAGAGTTTACCTCAAGATTCCAAACATAACTTAGAATAAATCCAAATGGATCTCGTAGCATTTAATTCATAAAAAATTCACAAAAATTTATTGTCAAAGTTAACAGATGCCTGACAGGGATTTATGTGACCATGGTCATTGGTTGCCGTCGATACCATTTATTCAAAATCCCTATTTTTTGATTTCAACGTTGTGCAGTCCTCAGTTTAAATTAAAATATCTTTTAAACGGTCCATTTTAGGGGTATTGAATGCGTTTTTTAATCGAAATTGATTACTCTATCGATTTGGGCAATAAAAAATTGGTGTTAAGAGAGCAAAAAAATGGAAAAACACAGAAAATGTGACCTGCAACTGCTGGAACCGGAAATTGAGTGGATGTATCCTGTTTTCGTGATTACCAGTTTAAAGGGTATGTTGTCACAGGAAAATGTTCCAAATTTTATAATATTTGGTCAAATAGTTCCAAAATTATTACAAAAAAATCAAATTTCCATACCCACATTCCGAGGGCTGTAAAATTCTTATCAGTAGAGATAGATTAAATGATTAACATCATTTTATAGGTCATTTTTGAGGTTCAAATATTGCTTCATATTTATGAATAACCCTGTATAATCCGAGCCTTAAACACACAATCTATGCAAGACATACGTTCATGTAATTTTTACGACACTCTTTTGTAAACACCCTTTAGAAACCTGACGGAGAGATTCAAAAAATGAAGAGAATGAAAAAAACAAGAGAAAAAAAGTACAATAAAATTCCGTTGTAGTTGAAGCTTAAATTAAAAAAGGAAAAGTTATGAACTGGTAAAATGTAGCTTAGTCACTAAAGTAGCCAGTTATTGTCCAGCTCTGGCTATTTACTATTCCTGCAGCCCCCTTCTTCCCTATCCGTGTCTGTCTCCGACGTTATAAATTCGCCATTACCCCCTTATTGACACTGCTGTGTATCTCAGGTGGCAGTCCAATATCGAAACACGATTCGAGCGCAGGCGAATGCGACAGCGACGAGAAGAACCCGGACATAATTCCGCAACCTGTCGACACCGACGAGACCGCAGATTACGTCAGGAAAAGACAACACATTAGCACAATCGAAACATCTCCCAGTCGGAGTCTTTTACATCAAGCCGGCAATTCGGGGAGCGGCGGGGGCGCCAACGCCGGCGGTTACATCGGTTACTGCACACTTCGCAACGGAATGCCCTTACACGAACTCGCCGCACAATCGAAAATGGTGAGCAAACGTCGGAATTTCCAAGAGATTAAAGCAAATACACGACGGCGATTATAGACGCGCCAGATACAATCAGGAAATTAAAGCTGTCGGGGATTAAAAAGAAAAGAAACGCTCTAGAGTTCATGAGCTCTATACTTGTTTCAAATTTCAAGCCTGTGACTCTAATGGTGCTATTCTGTAAAAAAAAACACTTGTTATAGCGCTATAACTCTTTAAGCTATCAACTATAAATCGAATTCTCTAAGGAAATATTTTTCTATACCTAAAATTCTATAAGCTTAAAGTTATGGCGAGAAAATTGGTGACCGTAAAGACTTATAGTCTCCATAACGATATACAGTATGATGAAAAAAAGCGCCCGTGTTAACCCACACGTTATAAGTGATCTTTTATTAAAGACGAATTCGAAGACCAAAATTGGATTTGTGCTCTTATCAGTAAGATAACGACTGTCCTTTTTAGAAAAGAGAAATCTCTATAATTAACAGTTTTAAAATAATTTCATTGTTAAAGTCTAGATTTTGATACTGTTGACGGTGTTCTTAAAAAAATGTGTAAAAAGTCTATTGAAATAAACTTTATTGAAGATGTTTGGATACCATTTCTTGGCTCCGAAGAAAATTTATCAATGTTGCAACATTGCAAATATCCTAGGATACAGAAAATGTCCAAGTAATATTCAATTATTGGAAACAGTAGCAACAAAAAAATCTATTTTCAATGTTGTTTGTTCTGTGAAATTTGAACGATTAAAGTCAAAAAGGTTTCCTAGATACGAAAAATACCTGAGTGAAATAGTTTTTTAGCAAAAAAAATTTGTGCAATATTGCCGCTTTGTGCTGTTAGACAAACTGTTTAAATTTTAAAAAGAATCTACAGAGTGGTTATMAATGATTTTCATCTAGCCAGCTTTGGAATTTTTTTGCATGTAACTTTATTTGTGCCGTTCTACTTTTTTGAAAGCTCTAGTTCTGTCATTAGTGTCACTTATTAATTAATAATAAATTGTTGTTACTTAAATTTTTATTGTTTCAACTAATTTCCAATAATAATTGATAATAATGTATACTTTGGAAGAAAACATCTTTATAATTGAAGTCTATTTTCGAAGTGGACGCTTAGTAAACGGCGATTTTTTAATTTTGAGTTACAACAAGTAGGTACCCCTATTTTCGTAAAGCTGCATTTTTTATTTTACATGGAAAATTCACAGCTGGCTAAATAAAAATTATTTATAACCACTCTGTATTTAGACTATTTTTGGAATGATGGTCACAATGTTTCAATAAAAAAGGACGCGCCTGTTTCAATCGTGGGCGCCTTTTTTTCATCACCCAGTATTGTCATAGTAACAATGTCAATCCTCAATAATTTATTATAAGTACTTCTCTCCGTATTTCGCCAATAATGCTAATTTTTGTTCTCTTATAATTATTGGGATCGTGCAAAGTTACAGCTACATACTTCAGTGATGGATCGCAACAATTTTGCACTAATTGCAATATATTTGTTGTTAAATGAAGAAGAAAGAAGGTTGTGGACAAAAATGGGCTTGTTACTTCTAAAACTGTAATAAAAAAAGGTTGTCTATTCAGAAAATCGGCAAAAATTTTTGTTACTTTTTCAACTCGTTCTTCAAAAACAGTGCAACCAGACCTATTAAGTTAATTGCGTTCTTTTTTTTTTGATGTATATGTTGTATTCTCATCAATTTCTTACTAAAAATTAAAGAATGTTTAGCAAACCTTCATTACAAATTGCGTCTAAATTTTAGCGGTGATCTTTTTCTGACTTTTGCTTGCACACTTTTTGTCTTCAAATTTTCGAAAATTGTTCGCAAAATCCAATTTGTTCACGCTTTGGTGTTTTTATTTCTAAATTTTCTTAGACGATTTTTTTGCTGACGTTTAATGACGTTTTTTTAATTAAATCAAAAACTGGAACTACCAACTTCCTTTATTAAAATTACCATGAATGAATTTATTAGGGACTGTTTGACATTTCCATTTAATAAAAAAAACAGACTTTAGGGTAATTACAGCGCTATAACTCGAATGTTTACATAGACGCTTAGAGAATACCAATTTTGATACAATTCTATAAGGACTTTAAAAAAATCATATACAGAGCTSTATTAGCTATGGAATATACCAASTTATAGACTGCAGCAAATTTTTAGAGAATAGCCTAATAAATTTCAGTTGGCAGCATTGAATAATAAAAGGCTACTTTGACCACAAATATATCTTAACTCAATATTGAGGGGACAAACTTTCTAACTTTTCGAAAAACGCCATTACGCGAAAATACCTTTGGCAAGATGGCGGCTTATCAAAACAAGCCGATAAATCGCAGTAACTTAACCTAGTAAAATAACAATTTATAGGGGTGACAGTTATCCAAAATCTGCTTTCCTTTCACTTATTATCAATGATAATATAGTAGGGTTGGTGCAGGATCAAGTCGATGCGTATACGTGAGGTCAATGAGGTTGCTCTTTATGGCCGTTCCGGCGATAAAGTAAAACATTAATTAAAAAATGTTAAATTTGAAGCTCGAAGGAGTCGCGCGATCGATAGAGCCCCTCACGTGGCCATCGGCCTGTGTCACCCACCCTATGATAAAGGCTAAAGAGGAACTGTTGCTTGAAGAACGGTTATATATTGCTATCGGAACTTCCAAGGTGGAAATTCAATGCTATCGGACTTGGGATGCTTACACAAGAACCCTTTTACACGCCGACTGGATGTTGTATTATATTGACAATTGTGCTAATCGCGTTATTGATGTTGGAATCGCTTTTATATATCGGCATGTTCGCGAAATCGCTTTAATGCCGACTTCCCGACACAATAAATACATTTATGGAAGCGGAATCGATTCAATAGCGGTCATTCTTGTCCAAGAAAGAGAACGAAATGACAAGGAAAACTTTGGCATTAAACTATCAGTACTTTAGGGTCTTAATTTTTTGCCAACTGCCCCCAAATTAGTTTATTCCAAAACAAACAGGGATGTTTTTGCGAGGAACATGTACGTTTCTCTACTTCCAATCATTCCTATTATCCGCAAATGTTACCTCAGGATTGTCAATAACGGATWCGTGCAACATAAACAAGGGAGCTTTTCTGAAAACAATATCCTTGTTGATACAACGAATTATATAGCCATGTAGAAGATTTATGTCGGATTTTTTTCCGTATAAATCAAAAATAAAAAACGAAATTTATATTTGAACTACTCCCTTTATTTTTTATATAAATCACCCGAATTTTCACTCAACTATTAATCATTCCTTTGGCAAAAAAGCAACAAGTTGGATAATGAGATTCTCTTCCAATTTTTTGCTTTTTCATTCTGATGCGGTGTGTATAAATAAAACAAACACGACAAAAAATTCAAACTCTTTTATTGCTTTATTAAACCCCCAGGCTCGTTATTGCAAAAAATGCCACAATTCTGTAGCATTCTAATTTCAAGACTCTTCACCGATCAATATCGCATTTTTTTATCCACTGTTCTAAATTAAAAATAAAATGTTGCTTTGTAAAAACGATCTTTTTTCGCGGGTTTATTAAAGTTTATTCTGCTTTCGAGGTGAAACGGTTTTCGTGCAAAAACCGACATCCTTGAATGAAAAACTCCACTGAATTCCCAGGATATACGTCGCTTCGAGATTTATAAATGTTTTATTTACACATTATGACGAAAAAATTGCAACGTTTAAGGGAGAAAAACGTATATTTTTATATAACAATGACATAAATCTTCGTGGCGGTTCTTTATGAAAGAAAAATGCAACATTGCAAAATGAAGCGGTTGCTAGGCAACTTGTTATACATTTTTGCATTTAGGTTAAATTCTATCATTAAAACTATTTTCAGTTAAATTAATTTCAGTATTTTGTAAACATTTTATTTAAAACCGCAGTTGTGCGGTCAGTGATTGACGCATTAACAAGAATGATACTACAATCATTATTTTCTGTATCTTTATAATTAATTCAGCCACAACAATTTTAATTACGAACAAATACTGCATTGAAACAACGCAAAACAATTTCATTATTTCACTAACAGCCATTATTGCACTTAATTTCCTGTTTGGAAGCAGTTCACCCAGAAATGTTTTATTTATCGTAGCATGCTGCGCCGCCGCCGATGATGGGGGGCTACGCCCCTTGCACGCTGCCCCGACAGCCCCAGCAGTGGCAGTACGGCCCCGTGAGCCACCTGCCCCCGGGGGTGTACCCGGTGCCGTATCGCGGGCCCCATCCGCAGCAGAGGCCGCGTCCGCAGCCCCGGGAGCCCCCCATACCCATGCAGCCGCTCGCCGCGACGGAAGAGGAGCCCTCGGTGGACACCCCGCTCATGGTCAACAAGCGCGAAAGCACAGTTTGACAAGTGACTTCGCTCTAAATGCTGCCAAAGACAGGGTTCCAATTGTTTTAAGTACCAACGAAATTGTACCCTAAATTTACTGTCACTGGGAACAAAATAAGGACTTTTTCGGGATTATTTTCACTCTTCCGCTTGGCTAAAATTAACATATCTTGGAAGGTTTATGTGCTGTGAGGGTGGGGGCTGATTTTTTATTCTAGGGAATTCACAGGTGTCGCGAGTGGTTGTAAACAAAACAAACTTATGAAAATGTTACTAGCTTCAAGGAAATTGTTGTTGTATAGCCCGTTTTTGTCAAATGCGTTTTGCCTACTGGAGGTTTTTTGTATTTGCTTCATTTATACGAATGTTATTTTTGTATATCTTGTACATAAACATAGGTAATGAAAATAAATGTGATAATTATAAATTATCTATCGAGGATACGTCAATGTATCATTTTTTTCAAAAATAAAAATGCCAAGTCTGTTACTTAAATACGACTTTTTATATATCGTATAAGAAGATTATATCATAATTTGTACATGTTGTATATACTGTATATAAATGACTATTTTGCCTTGTAAATATACCTTTAAATAACTAATTAAATCGAGTGTTCACGACTACATACCTACATTTTTTGTAATTATTTGAAGGGTGTAATGGTTATTCGTTATCCAATCAAATTTCATCTGTGAAAATTTAAATATAAATGTATTAAAACCCATGTTTCATTTCAACCCCTTTTTGTCCACAAGTAGGCCATGAATCGCACAAAAAAGACACTAATAATATACCGCGTTTCAAAATTATTATTATCTTGCTAGGTCATGGAAATTCAAGTTTAAGGTGGCAACATTTGTTTTGAGAGTTCTAGGTTGTTCATTTTTACACGATTGCACCCACTGAGATTGAAGATACGTCATTTTCAAAATTTGTGACATTAGTAACTTTTTTGGAACTAAAATTAAAGTTTGATTTACAGTCTCAACGCCTACCGAGATGTCAATCATTTTGAAACGTTCTATACATATTTATTTTATAAATACAAAAAACTTAATCTTGGGAAAGTTAAGGAAAAAGAAGTCAAAAACTGTTTTAAACGAGTATTTGTATTTTTTATAAATACTTATAAAAACTGTTTTTACAACAATTTTATGTGACTGCAGCACATTGGATTGAATTCTTAATTAACAAACACTTGAATTTTAGACTTAATTAAATAATAAACTAAAAAACGTACTTTTTACCTTGTTTGAAACACTAGAAACACCACTTTTCAACAATTTTAGTACAACAAAAAATTTAATAACAAACGCTTAAACTTTTTTACAACAAACAATAATACCACTTGATTTTTAAGTTTTTTATGATGCGCGTGCGCAATAATTGTCGTCACTAGGGTTACTTTTAACAATTTAAAGAACAGAGTGATAACCCAACACTTATAAAAATTGTTTGTTGCAGAAATAATAATTTGAAACTTTTCTTATCACTTTGCTTTAATTATATAAACAATCATCTTTAAAATCAATAATTTGGAGTACAAAAATAAAGTTGAAGCGTTAGCCACTACCAAAGTTGACAGATGCGCGCCATCTGCAGCCTATTTCTCCAGTTATTGTGCATTTTCCCGCCTTTTTTGCAGCATCAACAGTTGTTTTATCGTGGAAAAAACACTAAAAACCCAACTTTTACACGGTAAGTGACGTTCAATTTGTGATAAATCCATCAAAACCCCCCAATTAGATGTCTTCCCCGGCCCCCCATCGCACACCTCGCGCCAACCGCGACGACGATGCGCCCACTCCCCGGGGGCGCAGACCCGCCGGTGGTCACCGCACCCCGGCCCGCGAGGACCCTCAGACGCCGTCACGGACCCCCCGACACAACCCCACGCCGGCTAAAAGCGACACTATCGACACTCCAATGCGTTGGGGCGGAGCCCGACGCGATATCGAGGGCGACGCCGGGGAAATCCCCTCGTCGCCGATGGTCACAAGTCCGGGAGTGGCAATGAGCGAGATTGACTTGTCGTCGCCCCTCAATTACGGCACTCCGTGCTCTTTGGGGTCCATCAGGACCCCCAGGTCGGGGATCAGGGGGACCCCCATCAGGATGCGGCCCGATGTGAGGACTGATCGCAGGATGAGACAAGTTAACGTCGGCGGAGAGGTTTGTGACTAAAAAGTTGTAACAATTTTAACAATTTTTTTTAGTTAGATCCGGTGGCTGAGGGCGATGAGGGAAGCACAGCCCCACATTTGGTCATCTGGGGCACCAATGTCTCGGTCGCTGAGTGCAAAGAGAAGTTCAAACAGTTTGTTTTGAGGTTTATTGACCCAAATGCCGAAGAGGATGAGAGAACCGACGATATGAATATCAACGAGCCTTTGTATTTTCAAAAATTGGACGAGATTAACACACTAGAGGAGCCTTTTTTGAACGTCAATTGTGCCCACATTGAGACCTTTGACGCGAATTTATACCGACAACTTGTCTCCTACCCCCAGGAAGTCATCCCAATTTTCGACATGATGGTCAACGAAATGTTCTACGAGCGTTACCCCGCCGCCGAATTGGAGCACCAGATCCAAGTGCGGCCTTTTAATGCCGAAAAAACCCGAAATATGAGAGCCCTCAACCCTGAAGGTGACACAMKYAAAAAACCGAAACAATATTTAATGCCCCATCCACAGATATCGACCAATTGATCACAGTCAGTGGCATGGTYATYCGCACCTCGAATYTAATGCCCGAGATGAGAGAGGCATTCTTCAAATGCATAGTTTGCAACTTCACCACCACGGTGGAGATCGACAGGGGGCGCATCACCGAACCCACCCTCTGCACCAGTTGCAACACCAACCATTGCTTCACGATGGTGCACAACCGCTCGCAGTTCACCGACAAACAAATGATCAAACTGCAGGAATCCCCGGGTATATTATTCATTTATTAAAAAAAACGAATTGGAATTAAGTTGGCAACACTGACTTATCGGTGATATCAAAGTGTGTCGGTGACGGCAAAGTCCGTGGTTACCCGTCAGAGCCGAATGACAATTGAGTATAAAAATTTGACGTTTGTATTTGTTGCCAACTTAACACTGAAATTTATTTGATTTGGGGTTAATATCGAATTTTTGATTAGACGACATGCCTGCGGGGCAGACCCCCCACACGGTGGTCCTCTTCGCGCACAACGACCTCGTGGACGCCGTGCAGCCGGGCGACCGCGTCACCGTGACGGGGATTTACCGCGCACAGCCCCTCCAGGTGAACCCCCGGCAGCGTAACCTGCGCGCCGTCTACAAAACCCACATTGACGTCCTCCACTTCCGCAAAATCGACACCAAACGGCTATACGAAGAGGAGGACGGGTAAACCACCCAATCGGGGAAACCCCCAAACTAATCGCTTCTTGTAGCAAAGACCACCGTTTCCCCCCCGAACGAATCGAATTACTGAACCTTTTGTCGCAAAAAGAGGATATTTACGAACGGTTGGCGCGCGCTCTCGCCCCCTCGATCTACGAAAACGAGGATGTCAAAAAGGGGATTCTTCTGCAGCTCTTTGGGGGCACCAAAAAGAAATTTGTGACGTCAGGACGCACGAATTTCAGGTCCGAAATCAATATTTTGTTGTGCGGGGACCCGGGTACCTCCAAGTCGCAACTCCTCCAATACGTCTACAATTTGGTTCCGAGGAGTCAATACACGTCCGGGAAGGGTTCCTCAGCTGTGGGGTTAACAGCCTACGTGACCAAAGACACCGAAACGAGACAATTGGTTCTGCAAACGGGGGCTCTAGTTCTGGCCGATAATGGCATATGTTGCATCGATGAGTTTGATAAAATGAACGATTCAACCCGGAGTGTTTTACATGAGGTAAAGTCCATTTTTTTTTAAAACAATTGTCAAAGTGTTGCCATGTTGGTATCAGTCACTTGATGTTATTACGTTGGCAACGTAAAATGTCATTTGAATGTCAGCAATTACTTTTAAATTTAAAATTGAAAGTACAACGTAAAGGGCACAGAAAATGTTGAAGATGGAATTGGTTGGTATTAGAATTATTTCTGTGACGTTGCGGATGGCGGAAATACGCCGCCCTTTTAGAACGGAACTATTACGAAAGGTTTTTTTGTGAATCTTGCCGTTTTTGAGGAAATTAATACGATAACGAGTCAGTCTTAGCCTAACTCTTGTACGAGTTTATTGAATTATAATAATTGTTTGAATAAATTATTGTGAAATTGTGTTTTATCTCAAGAATAGTCATTTACGAAAATGAGTTTCCGAAAGCAAGGATCTAGACACTAACATGACAAGAATAATAGCTATGATTAGATTTTGTGAATATATGCAGACAAAAAACCAATCATGTTAAAATTCTTCAAGAATTTGACAATTATGGTTGTGTAAAAACTCCTAAAAAAGAACAGCATCCAATAAATTGCATGACTAATCCAGTATTTTATTATATTCCTCCAATAATGATTCAACTTTCTACAGAATCAGATTCTGAAGACGATTGGTGGTCTGAAAATTTTGAATCAGATTCTGAAAATGAGTAAAAATTTAAATTACCCATTAAATATTTTTTTTTCGGTTAGGAGTTGCATTTTTCCGTGTCCTTACCGTCTTTATTTCTTGTCTTTTGGTAAAAAATTTGCTTCCACTTCAAACTTTTCTGACATTTGAAAATTACTAACATAACCTCAAACCTAATTTAGGGAGATTTTGATATACAGATGTTCCGAAAAAAAGGTTTTAGGGTAGGACAGTCTGGTTTTTGAGGAAACTTTGACATTGACAATTGTTTTAAAAAAAAATGGACTTAATTTGACGATTTTTTTGGTCCACACTGTAGATTTTTGTAGGTGATGGAACAACAAACTTTGAGCATAGCCAAAGCTGGGATTATTTGTCAATTGAACGCCAGGACTTCAATTCTTGCCGCTGCAAACCCCTCCGAATCACAATGGAACAAAAATAAAACAATTATAGAAAATGTGCAACTACCACACACACTTTTGTCACGTTTTGACTTAATTTTCCTGATTTTGGACCCCCAGAGTGAGGTTTTCGACCGAAGATTGGCCTCGCATTTGGTGGGGCTTTACTACAAGACGCCCCAACAAGATGATGACGAGATTTTGGTACAAAATTTAAATTTGTAATTGTTTTTTTTTAATTAGAATTTTGTAGGACATGTCGATTCTTCGTGATTATTTGGCCTACGCCAAGGAGCACATTCACCCCAAGTTGAGTGAGGAAGCCTCCCAGCGGCTGATCCAGGCCTACGTGGACATGCGGAAGGTGGGGTCGGGCCGGGGGCAGATCTCCGCGTACCCCCGCCAGTTGGAGTCGCTGATTCGGCTCTCGGAGGCGCACGCCAAGGTGCGGTTTTCGCAGCTTGTGGAAATTGAGGATGTTGAGGAGGCGTGGAGGCTCCATCGCGAAGCTTTGAAACAGTCAGCGACGGATCCGTTGAGTGGGAAAATCGATGTGGGGATTTTGACCACCGGGTTGAGTATGGCGGCGAGGAAAAGGAGGGTGGAGTTGGTTCAAGCCTTGAAGAAGTTGATTGAGAATAAAGGGAAGGTTCCCACGATTAATTACCCCAAGTTGTTGGCGGAAGTGAAGGAAGGGTCGAGTGTTATGGTGACCAGGGAGCAGTTTGAGGACGCGTTAAAGGATTTGCAGGATGAGGGGATGATTGTGGTGATGGGGAGGACGTCCATCAGGGTCTGCAGGAATAGGGATTAGGGTTATAATGTATTTTTTTAAGAATAAAGCCCAATTTTCACATTATTGCATTCTTATTAACAATTTTAAATAGACCTAGTAGGCTTTTTAGTAATATAGCAAGTACCAACATTAAATGAAAACTATAATGTTAATTAAAAATAAATTATTTCTAACAAGCCATGACATAAACAAGAAAAGCAAGGTACAAAGTTAATTTGGGTGTGTTAATTAAGCACTTTTTCAATTTTTTATCTCTTCTAATTAATATATGCTTCTTGTACCAACCTGTGATTACCAAATACACTACTGTATAAATTTAATTAAAAAATGGTTTAATTTTACAATTTATAGCATCAATTATTGTTATTACAAGAGAAAATATTTATTTTAGCAAATTTTAATAATTAGTTTTTTTTTTTTAAGTAAATTTGAGAAATTTGCTTTTTTGGCCAGATTTGACAATTGAAGCTTGACAGTTGAGTGACATTCCGTGCATCAAGTGTGCGACTTGTAGGTTATGTTTTCCAATTCCCCCGAGTAAAAGTGTTTTTTCGCCCCCCCGTGATGCCCCAGCGGCGCTTCTGACCCTTGTTACAATGTCTTCGACGCGAAAATGCAAAAGTTGCGGCAGTTCGGACATCGAGGTGGACCCCGCGCGTGGGGACGCCGTTTGTACAAACTGCGGCTCAGTCCTCGAAGTCAACATCATAGTCGCGGAAGTGCAGTTCGAGGAAGGGGCCCATGGCACGAACAGCGCCATTGGACAATTCGTCTCGGCGGATTCCAAAGGGGGCGCAACCAAATTCGGGGCCTGTGAGTACAATTTTCCTCCCTTCAGCTTCATTCAATGTTTTTCGTAGCGTTTCATGTGGGGACTGGGGTGGAGTCCCGGGAAATGACCCTGAGGAAGGCCCGGAATGGGATCACACACTTATGCAACCAGTTGCAGTTGAATCAGCACTGTATTGACACGGCGTGTAATTTTTTTAAAATGGCTTTGAATCGGAATTTGACCAAAGGGCGGAAAAACACACACGTGCATGCCGCGTGCGTGTATCTGACGTGTCGGACCGAGGGCACAGCCCGTATCCTTTTTTTTCAAAAAAAAAAAATGAGAAAAAAATCAATACATTTTTTTTCCTTAATGGGGCTTAGATCTTTTAATAGATATTAGTGACGTACTCCAGATTTGCTGTTACGAGTTGGGTAGGACTTACCTCAAGCTGTCTCAAGCCTTGTCAATCAACATACCTGCTGTCGGTAAGCCTCCTTTTTTGTGCATATTTTTGATCACAGTAGCCTATGAGTTAAATTTATTGAAATTTTAATTTGGCAACACTGACTATCAAATTTAAACGTCACGTTTTTAGAGTCAATTGTCATTCGCGATCGCTGGCGTAGCCGTCACCTGCATCAAGTTATATCACCGATAAGACAGTGTTGCCAATAGATTTTTATCACAGTCATTTGCATGTTTTTTGATCTACAGGATGACTGTAAATGATTGTAATTTTTATCCCCAAGTTAGCGACAAATTTAAAATCTTATCTTGGCATCTTGACTCGTACATTCAAACGTCAAACTATCATAGACAACTGACATTCCGATATAACAAATTAGAATTACCGATGATTCAGTGTTGCCAAGTTTTTTTGTCACATTTTTTTTTATATACATTATTTAATGTTGCCAACAAATTTCATACTCAAATAGAACAATTTTTTACTAATTTGGCAAAATAATCAAGTTTCAAAAACGTGGAAAATGCTCGAGAAAGATGTAAAAAATTAGTGTCACATTTATTTTGAGCTAATTTACTATATTAATAACTAACAAATTAGTGTATTAATTTTTTGTTTGTAACTGCAGCTACTAGGGTTTTTTTCATTTCCAAAAAATCACCAGATATTAGAATTTTTACGAAAATTTTCACCAAACTAACATGCCACAGACATTAATAGTCATCCGATATACATTATTCAATGTTGCCAACGTAATTTCATAGTCAAATAGAACTATGTATTTTTAACCAATTTGGTGATTTTATTTTTTTTTAAGAAAGTTTGGCTAAATAATCGAGTTTCTGGTTAAAACACGTGGAAAATGCTCGAAAACGATGTAAAAAATTAGTGTCACATTTATTTTGAGCTAATTTACTATATTAATAACTGAAAAAATAGTTTATTAATTAGTGTATTAATTTTTTGTTGTAACTGCAGTTACTAGGATTTTTTTTCATTTCCAAGAAAACACCAAATATTAGAATTTTTACGAAAATTTTCACCAAACTACTCGTAACATGCCACAGATATTAAAGTCATCGGATATACATTATCCAATGTTGCCAACGTAATTTTATAGTCAAATAGAACTATGTATTTTTAACCAATTTGGTGATTTTAAAAAAAAAAAATTTTAAGAAAATTTGGCTATATCATCGAGTTTCTGGTTAAAACACGTGGAAAATGCTCGAAAAAGATGAAAATAATTCGTGTAATTTATTTTGATCTAATTTCCTATATCAATAATTGAAAAATTAGTATATTATTTTTTTTGTTTAACTGGCAACACTGCGTCATCGATAACAAATTAGAAGGGTTAGAATAAGTCAGTGTTCCCAATGGATTTTTTAAAACAGTCATAGTCACTTTTATCTCTACGTTGGCGTCAAATTTTAAATCTTGGGACAATTTTGACATTCAAATTCAAACGTCAAACTTTAATAGGAAATTGTCATTCATTTTCGACAGCTGGTCACTGACATAAACAGTTAGAAAAATTACCGATAATTCAGTGTTGCCAATTTGACACAAAAATTTATAGTTACTCGATGTACATTATTCAGTGTTGCCAATGTAATTTCATAGTCGCAGGTCACTTGATCAGAAAATTGAATAAAAGTCGCTTGAAACTACCAAGATATATATTTTATCAAATTATTTGTTGTATCACATAAGTAGTAACGAATATCATGGCAATGTAAGCAAATGTTTGCCGTATAAATATTGCTATGCTAATAGTTACTCTGGAAATATTCTCGTAGTAACAAAAGAGTAAAAGAAACAAAAAATGCTAAGCTAATTTACACGTCTGTATTCATCGAACCCTGTTTGGTTAATACATGGACTCGTCTGCTTTATATAATGCAACGTCTTAAAACCTACTGGCATTATATAACTTGTCTGAGTTAAAACAGTACATGGTTATCACTTGAGAGGCAAAAATCTGTAAGACATTTCGAAAAATATCTAATGATTAAGCTTTCTTACGGGAATATATCATTTTAGTATTATATATTTTTTTAAACAAACTATTTACAGTATTTGTATTTCATGTGAACACAACATCTTTTGGAGATATCCAGTTTCGTTACAAAACAAAAAATTATAAAAAAAAAACATCACCTTAACTAGATTATAAATAAAAAGTCCCTTAATTCACAGCACTTTAAACAAACAGAAAGTAAAGAATTCACATAACGTTCGAACAAAAACCCGACTGGTTCTAGTGTTCTTCGTATGTCGGTCCATAAAAAATAAGTTCCGGAATTTGACCGCCTTGTACTCCTGTTCCGTTTGTACTTTCCGAGGAACATTGAAATTGAAACGTCACTTGGCCAACAGTCACCTCACTCATACCCTCCTGTCCGAAATAACTCAATTCGCCGCCGTCTAGAATCGCCGAAGCGGTATAAAACGACTCGGGTTCGATTTGAATCGGATTGTCGAAATACACATGAAACGTATTGCTCGAGCCATCTGAGAAAAATTGTGTGTTGTTTTCGGCCAAGACGCGACCTAAACGTTTCAGTTCGATTTTGACGCTGTAGTCGGCGGCGCCGTTCGACGACCCATACAGACCGAAACCGACGACGAAAATGCGACGATCGACCGAAAACTGGATGCTATCGCAACGCCCTCTATACCGCCATTGGTTCGACCTATAGGCACACGATTGAAACCTGTGACACACCTACAAAAAAATCGTTAATTCGTGATTGGTGGAGATCAAGCAATGAACCTGAGATTTTAATCCAGCTCGTGGCTTGATTGGATATTGCAGACTCGGCTTGTTATTCGCTGTAAAATGAAAGAAAATATTTATAGTCTCTTCTTGCGTCAGAATGCCCATTTGTGCAGCACCGTTTGCGAATTCGTCAAGTGTCATCGTCGGGATTCGTATCAAGTAGAGGGCGTTGCCCAATACCACTCTTTTGTTTTGGGGGGTGGGTTCAATGTCTTGACGGATGCATTCAGCCCCCGCCCAATTCAAAGCCGCCTCGAGTAAATTCATCTCTTTGCAATTTAATGTCTCACGAGCCAAGACCGATTCCAGTGTTGACATGTCAATGTCCACGAAACCCTCCGATCGCAGCGCCATCTCGGCCTACAAAAAACAAATGCGGAATTAGGATCAATTTACAAATCAAGGGAATAAACAACTATTTTAATCCCGAGAATTTAGATAATGCCAGAGGCTACCGAAGGGGGCCGAGGGCATTTTCTTTCAAGGGATTAACGAACGATGTTTATTCCCGAGATGCATACAAAAGTTTCCTCCCAACAAACTAAATTAATAACAACATAAGAAAATGATAAATTTGCCAAAATATTCAGTTCATTCAGTTGCAATTTTAAAAGAAGACGTCGATATCAAATTTGGTTTCATTCAATTTCAGTTTATTTTAAAATCGGTGTTTCATTTATTTTATTCCCGAGGGTATAAAGTACCAAATTATTAGTCAAAAACAAGGGAATTAAAGCTTCACTTTATTCCTAGTTTGGAGAAAAGTGCTTGTCCTCAGAATAACATATCTGTCAAATTGATCATTTGGTAACAAATCTACTATTTTGACAACACCGTTTTATATTTGATACAAAAATTTTTGTATGGTGAGAAGTTACAATTATTTTCCTTAACTAATAGGTTATCTGGAATCTTTAAAGTGTAAGAAATATTAAAAGTGTGCAATTTTGTCATTTTGTTTTCTCAACATAAGTTGAAATTTTTATTTAAATTGGAATTAAAATTCATAACTTTACGCGGGCTCGTGACCAAGAAAAAAAAAGAGTGATTAAAATTCACAATTTTGTATGATTGCAGTTGCAAGAAAATTTCAAAAAAGCGAAAAAAAAAAAATTGGTCAAAAATGAAAAAAAAACTCAAAACTGGAATCTTTCAAGTGTTAGAAATATTGAGAGCGTGCAATTTTGTGTCATTTTGTTTTCTCAACATAAGTTGAGATTTTTTTAAGATTTATTTAACTTGGAATTAAAATTCATGACTTTACGCGGGCTCGTGACCAAGAAAAAAAATTGGTCAAAAATGAAAAAAACTCTAAACTGACCCTGTTTTATGCAATATTTTACTTGTCATTATAACTGTTTTTTTTTAATAAAAAAGTTTTAAATTAAATCCCTGTTTTTAGTAAAATACCATGTTTATTAATAGATTTTTACTGCGTAACTTTCTTATGGTAAATTTTTGGTTTTTATAGTAAGTAGTCCAATTTTTATATGCACTAAACTTGTTGAGAAAATTCACAAATTTAAAAACAATTGTGATATATATTTTTTTTTAAATAATGATAATACTGTTATTTTTATCTTTAATAATTGTTGCACTTGCATTTTTACTCATTTGTAAAAAATACACAAATTGTACGTGGTATTGGTTATTTTAAATGGTTATTTTGATGACGTCATGCGCGCGCTTTTTCTGCGTTCTGATTAGTTGAAAGTTGCCAGGCAACGTATTAGTTAGGAACCTTGGGATGAACAGGTGAAATAAGCTCGCCTCGATGTTTTTATAATCCATATATTAACAACACAATGGTACATACATTTAGTTACATTTCGGGGCAAAAAAACACATCAATGCTGTAAATATGTGGATTAAAAACAACAGTGAGACTAAAACAAGCACAGCAATCGACAAACTTATACATTTTATTTTTTTTCTTAACAATAAAATGAGCACAAGTCGGCCGTTACGTATACTTAAAATTAAACTTAAGATATGTGTGTGGTGTATAAAATTGTTGAGCATTTTCGACAGAATCACATACATAATTTTTTTTTTCGTTTTATCAATTTTGACTAGACATAGATCAGCCTTGGCAGTTGGTAGCGTTTTAACGAGTTTGTTAACTAGTTGAGTGAATTTTTGATACAGGCACTGAAGCTCATGTGCCTCTTTTGCGTTTGTTTGCATCGTTCAGGAACGGTGCTTAGATCTAAACAGGACAGGGAATGTGTGAGACTCACCTGAGCATCAATCACCTCCCAACATCGTTGCATCAGTTCCGGTTCTTCGAAAAGTCGCGATTGACTCAACAAAAGACAGGCATTTTTCGCAGTCAGACTAGTTTCGAGATAATTCACACAGGCACGCGCCAAATGGGGCACAATATATTTTTTCGCTACGTATAAAGTTGCAAGAACCGTGTCCGCCTCTAGCTGGATCTCATCGCAGTATAAATATCTGTGCAGAAAACAACACATTACCAAACTGGTGCAACTTTTTCGCTCTTGTGTCTTACTTGAGTAGAGTGAGAAACGCAGACGGTTCAACGTCAGGTACTTCGATTTCCTCCTTGCATTCGGCGAGTCCGCCGTAAAACATGGCATAGAAGACGGAACTTCCGGTCGCGAGGACGTATTTGTGTGCGGGGATGTCTTGGGTGGCGCCGGGGCTGCCGACGATGAACCGGACATCGGCCATGAGGTCGTTGTTGAACATGGCGGCGTTGCGCTCCCTCACTGTGGGCTTGCTCGCCTGCCAGTTGGGGTCGAGAGTGCCCGGGGGGCCCGTGGGCGACACGCAAGGACTAGAAGGGGGCGAGCCGGGAGCGCTGGCAGGCTGCATCACCTGCAAGTTCTCTCGTTGCGAGATGATGTGCGGCGGGGAGAGACTGAGAGCCCCATTGTTGAGAGTTTCTGCTGTTGAGAAAATCAATTTGTAAAAAAGGGATTTACAGATTTTGCTAAGCACACTTGGCAAGGGACACTCACCGTTCATCCATGCATTCGTTTGCGAGACGGATAATGTGTCTTGGGGGCGTTTCACCGGTTTGGAGGCTATTTTTGAGTATAAATTGGACATGGCCATTGTTTTTAGTGGGATAACAACAACAATAACAAAATAACTAAAAGCGAGACTGCTACACGGCCGCCATTTTGTACGTTCGTTGCTTTTTTGTTTCGCTTTATCCCCGCCCTGCTACACCAGCGCCGTCTTGTGGCGTTATTTTAGTCAATAAACTGGTATGTTTATGGCACGCAACGCAAACCGGTCAATAAAAAAACATAATTTGAATTTTTTGCGCACATAAAATTCTCCATTATCCACTTTTTTCAAATTTCAAGCGTTTAAAATACAATAAAATAAAAAAGTCTTTATATCAAGCTAGCGTAGAAATTTAAAACGTATGTCCCGGATGATACAACTGCGAAATGTCAAAATTAATATACGATTTGTATGGGAAAACACTAAAAATATCTCATTTAAGAATGTTTTGAGAGCTTTGATAGAACAATTGAACTTGCTTTTAATTTCTATGAAATAATTTTTTGACATTCGGACTCCCTTCCGACATACGTCCTCAATTGTTTTTGCTTGTTTTTTTTTTACATTTTTCCTGATGTTATTTTGATTTGACATATGTCAAACCTGTCAATAGGTCAGGTCCAACCACAAAAACCTGTTTCTATTGAATTAAATAACAGTGAATCGACACAGAAAAAAAATGGCGGCCTTATTGTTTATATGGTTGTCTATGAAAGGAATTGACGTTGCAAATGTTCAATTGTATTGAAATTTTTCGCAAATAATTTCTATTATTGCCGTACAATGACATTTAAAATTGTAAAAAAGCAACTGCATAATGACGTTTAATATCAAGTATGACATTTCATGAGGTTAATAAGGTCATTTAAAGGCACTAAAAATGCACAAAATATTTTTGTTTTGTGAATACCGATGAAAAGTGAACGGTAATTTTTTTTTTTTTTACTTTAAATGCATTCCCTTGAACTTTATTATTTCATTTTTTATGCAGGAAATAAAAACTCCTTCACGTTCATTATGTAAACGTTTTTGTGTGAAACACCCAAATTGCAAGACTAGAAAAATTGATTTATTTTGAAACAAGACAGGAAACTACATCGCCACCTTTTCTCATCCCCCACTAGATGGTGTTGCCTTGTTCAAATTTGTCACAGCTTAATTAAAAATATATACAAAAAATGTTTGCAACACTTGTCATACTTACAGAAAAAATAAAATTTTGGAATATTTTCACAAACATTGAATAACAAATGTTCCATTTTTCAACTAGAATGCCAACTGGTCACCTGTTCGCAACAATTGCTGAAACAGGGCCCATTATTTTCCAATTTAGGGTAATTGAAGGGCACCGGAAAAATCCCTCATTCAACAACATACAGGGTGAACAAAAAGTATGCAACCAAATGTTTTTTTTATAAAGTAATATAATTAAAAAGTCCTTCTATCAAGTAGACATACTAGTTGAGACGTATGTCGCAGGGCAGTTCGTATGTTAACAAGACGTCAAAAAATTATTTTATGAAAATAAAAAGAAATATTGATCTACACAAATTGAATTTTTCTATGAAACGCCTCAAAACAGTCTAAAATGAGATATTATTGGTGTTTGTTCATACAAATAATAATAATAATAAGGCATTTTCGTATATACAGGTGCGCCAGAACTCGCACCCCAGCGAAAATTTTCAATTAAGGTAAGATACCAGGAACATGAAAAATTTTTCTTAAAAATTCTGTCAAAAAATTTTGACATTTATTTTTTGACATTTGACATTTTTTATGTCTATTATATTACAATTATATAGTAAAGGTACAAAAATTTTGCCAATAAAAGCCACAAATAACATTAAACAGATTACAATTTAGGATACAGCTTCCTTGTTTCCTCTTTTATTAGCCTATAGCAAAAAAACTAGGAAAATTATTTTTCCAACAGAAATAAATTGAGTCAAAGTGCAAACTTTAAACCCTCATAACTTCGAAATTTTTATAGATAAAATTCTTTAAACATTTTTTCCATGTTCCTGGTATCTTACCTTATATGGCATTTTTCTCTGGGGCGTGAGTTCTGGCGCACCCTGTATATATAAGAGAAGCTATTTTTTATTCCCTCGATACATTAATAACTATTCTTAAGATTAAAATTTTTGATTTTTGGTACGTTGCGTTTTTTCATTCACCAATATTTTTTTTCTGGAAGCAAATTTGTATACAGGTTCCTACTTTTTGTCCACCCTGTATGTGTAGCTGCTATTTACAAAATGTTTATTATTCCTGGACATGTGTGCGTTTGTTTGGTTACATTATCGTTGCAAACATGTAATACCCTTGTTTTTTGAAAAGTATGTGCTATTTTCACGTCAGCGTGGATTGTTATAACAGCACGATGAGTAACGACCGATTTCCCGTGACATTCGGTTGAAGTGTTGCCAATTGATCTAACTGTTAACATACTTTACATTGTGTGGATAGAAAACTGACGAAATCTAGTTTAGGAGTTGTTAAAAATAAATCCTGAATAAACTTAAACTAATTTCGCTGATTTTAATTGATTCACGTGCAACGACCTAATCGAAACATTTGGCAATTCTTGRAGCTGTTACATAATAAATTGATCGTAGCCGAATTGCCAACTATAAAATTACTATAAATCGAAGAAATTTTATTTCGGTTTTAATTAATTCAGTGTTGCAATGAAACCGTTAACGAAACGAATGACCTGGTAAATTTAACACAAATTATAGTGCATTCAAGGACGTCGATTTCAAGGTTTAGTTTATTTAGATGCACATTTTGCAAAAACCGAGAAAAAATTAATTATGTAACGTTTGTTTTTTTTTTAATTATTAGTAATGATGCTTAGAATCATTACCACTAATAGTGCATTACCTGACCTAAAGTTAGCTTAATCGCACCGATTAATCTAAAATACTCCAACTTACAATTTACTTTCTAATTAGGAGAGATATTTACACGAGATGTATGAGAAAATTTGTCGTTTTGTCTTGTAGCACATTGCTTTTCATTTATTTCAAGTGACTCGAAAGTTGTTGCACAATTTTTCCTTTATTAATAAGTAAACATTATTGTTTTCGTTGATTTATTGTGTCTTATTTTCTGTTTCACATGGGTAAATAAAAATTGCACAATTAATAAATAAAAGCATGCAACTGACTCTCCCGTAATTACCCGCATTTGCAACACTTTTTCACAGAATCAAATTAACACCACAAAACTTAACAAAATCAACAAAAAAGCTAATTAAACGAGTACGTACGCACATGAATTTGTATTATAACCATGGATACATCTCGTTTCTATGACAATATCACTATTTAATAATTGCATTACTCATAAGCGTCGAGTAAAGGCCGGTCGTTGGGGTTTAAAAAAGTGCTTTTTAATGTCTAGTTTTTTACACTCTTTAAGGTTTCTAAAGACCTGTCTTTTTTTCGTTTTGTTACCAAAAACCGGGACGAAAGTCCCGAGCTTACTTTAAAACTGTTTTGTGGAAATCCGGGTAACCGGAATTGGTTATATCCGACAGGAAGTCATCCGAGAAATCCGAATCCCGCGTCCTTTGCTACACACAAGCAATACTTTCCTATTTATAAACAAGCCCAAGCCCCCTGTATAATATTTTCATTCATAATATCTTTTTACAAAAATAAACCTTGAAAAATGTTCTAATTGTGCAAACATTTTAAAATAGAAAATAATTTTAAAACAAAAAGATCAAATGATTTGAGGCCAGGACACTACAAATTTTAAATAAAAAAATAGAAGCGTTGCTGTGGATACATTCTCATTTCATTTTGCGAATCCGATAGTAAATATATACAAAACATATACAGGGGGCGCCAAAACTTGCGCCCCAAACACAAGATACCACAAACATGGAAAAAAGTCACAATTTATTTATTGTTCAAATTTCGTTCTTAGTGGTGTTAAAAAAAAAACATTATTTTAAGTAGTTATAGCTAGAGAGAATTTTTAGCAAAAAATATCCACGGACCTCTATAGTCGAAAATAATGATTTTACAGAGTTGAAATTTTTCAGTTAAAAAAAACTCAAAAAATCTTCTTATTATTCACTCTGATAATTCAAAAAATCTTTGCTTTTTCTGTAATTTTTTTACAAAGATGTTGAAATACATACATAGTTCACAAATTTTGCACTTATTTGTGCTAAAACACGACATTTTAGGTAATTATCTTTAGAGACAATAAAAATAAGAAAGAACATTGGCAAATTTTTGCTCCACATTTTAACCCTCTTTCTGTTTACTGACGTGCTTTTCTACAGCAATATGCAACAGATTTTACAATGTTGAAATTTTAGTATTAAATGGTCGATTAAATTTCAGTTTTTAACATTTTTTAAAATGGTCTTTGCTTTTTGTATACAGGGTGCGCCAGAACTCACGCCCTAGGGAAAATGCCATGTAAGGTAAGATTCCAGGAACATGGAAAAAATGTTAAAAAAGTGTATGTACAAAAATTTCGAAGTTATGAGAGTTTAAATTTTGACTGTATTTATTTCTGTTGAAAAAATAATTTTCCAAGTTTTTTTGCTGCAGTCTATTAGAAGAGGAAACAAGGAAGCTGTATTCTAAATTGTAACTCTGTTTAATGTCATTTGTAGCTTTTATTGACAAAATTTTTGTACTCATCAGTATTATTAAATAGACATAAAAAAATGGCAAATGTCAAAAAATATGTGTAAAGATTGTTTGACAGATAGAATTTTTAAAATATTTTTTCCATGTTCCTGGTATCTTGTCTTGAAATTTTTATCTGGGGCGCGAGTTCTGACACACCCTGTATAATTTAAATAAAACAACAACAGAAATAAAACACAAAGAGAATAGGATTAGAAGACGAAAAAAAAAAGAAACAGAACAGATATTGAATAGAAAAAAGAAAAAAATAGGACGGGTATGTAATTTGGATAAAATGGAAATAGCAGAAGATTAGAATGGGTGTAAATTAAAAAAAAAGATAGCAAAGATAAAATAGAATTAGAATAAGAATCGAAAAAAAGTAGAATCAATATCGAATTAAAAAATAACAATTAAAACTGAAATAAAATAAAAATTGTAAAATAGAATCAGCAGAGGAAAATGATAGAAATAGCACAGAAATTTAAAAGAAATAAGAGTATTTATCTGGGGCGCGAGTTCTGACACACCCTGTATATGCGAATTTGATAGTATGAGTTCTATACACTACACCATTATTTCTACATAACATTTGCGAATCCGATTGTGTGAGATTTTCAAAATTTTCATAAAAAAATTGCGAATTCGGTAGTGTGAGTTTCGTATGGGGGCAAGCGGCTATGCCGCGAGCTCCACATTATTTCCACTACACTTTTGCGAATCTGATAGGATTTGACCACTGTTTCTAGTTTCGAGTCCTTAAACCTAAGGTACAAACGAAAAGCCGCTTTATTGAAAATATCATTTGAAAAACAATAAAATTGACCAGTATTTAAATATTGCACTAAAGAGCAAAAGTCTACGACTGGTTTTTTCAATTTATTTACAAATTCCGGAGCTTTTTTTTGGAAGTTTGGGTAACCGGAATTGATTTCGTAATCGTTTTTTTTTTTTCAAACAAACAAAATAGAAAACAATCAATTGCTTATCTAAAGTGGAAAGTAGTGTTGCGACTCTAGGACGAAAAAAACCGATGTGATTTTTGTGGGAACTTTCTTTTCGTCTTTTTGCAAATTTTCGCTTCAAGGCCATCTTAGTATGAAAGCGCAAGCGGCAAAACAAGCCAAACTCGTTTGAATCGAATTCGAAAAAAAATCCGATCGCATTGTCCCAAATTTTCGATCGAAAGTCGTCCACTAACCTCTTCCTTGGAGGAACTGGTTGTTCAGGTCGTCTTCGTCCTGGTCGAAATGGTCGTCGTCCAGGGTGAAGAGGTTGTCCAAGATGGAGACACTGCTGGGTGACTGACCGTGCCCTTTGCTAACGTAATTGGCGCACCGGTACAATAGGTACCAAATATCGGTCTGGCCTAGTACCCAGGCCAAAGCGTGACGCCCAGCATTCAACCCAGCTTGCTCTGCACCCAGCATAGCAAAAAAATTCGATTAAAACATGGGTTCTGAGGAGTCTGAAACGAAAAATCAACATTAATCGGACGTTACTCGATTATTTACTCACGTTTTTGAATAGACTGGAGGCTAAATTGCTGTAGAAGGCTGATCACGCAAATATTGTCATTTCGAAGTATGCAATTTGTAATTTTGAGGCGCAATTGCGAAATAAAAATCGCTTAGTGGTACACTATTTTGTTTGTTTATCACGACTCTCCAATTAACCAATAAAAAACAAATTTGCACACGCGTGGAAAAATGTCTGGTTTACCGCAAGGTTAATTATTGGGACCAATCTTTCACTTTTTTTTTCATCTACAACCGAAAATGCACTCACTTTTTGCGATAAGTGGTCACAAATCCGACTCGTTTTGCACTTCTGCAGAAATTCACAATTTTGGGAAATCGCTGCAGACTACAAACTATCACCAAGTCGAAGCACTTCTCAAGCACTCTCACCTGGACGAAACAATCACATGAACTGACGGTACGCCGACATAAAGCGTGCTTTCTTCAGTAGTACTTCTACTTACACCGAGTTTCCCGACCAAGGCTGCGAGATGTTGAGGTCGACGGGTGATTTCAGGTTTCCACCGATTTATTTTCTGCATTTCTCGTCAGTTTTTCACAAATTTTCCTCGTGGAAGCCACAATCGGCGTAATGGGAATGGTGGGACCTTGGAAGATTTTTTTCACATCGTCTAATTAATTGAGTCAATTGTATTAAAATTGGATCTAGTTTCTAATTTATTTGATTTATGATTTTTGGTGGTTTTGTTTGGGTCACTCACCGGTGGGTAAATAAGGAGTGGTCTGTATATGAATTTATGAAAAATAAATTCTGTTTTTTTCCGATAACATCAGGACTCAAGAATTTGAATTTCAGAATAACTAGATCTATTTTGCTAATGCTATTAAAATTTATTCTTCAAAACGTTTCCAAATTAAGTTTTTCCTACGATTTTTTTCCCGAAAAATCTTAAATGTGTTCTTTTGCTTTGGCATTTCAATGATATTTCGCATTTATTTGTTAATTAGCATCACATTAAGTGAATAAAATTTTGCAAAAATTGCTTGTATAAACAAAACAAAACGGGGCCTCAGCCGAAAACATCGACAATAATACAAAATTTTTATTACAACTAAAGAGAGGATTAATGTGGAGCAAAAACTTGTCAACAAACTGTTTAATACTAAAATTCCAACATTGTAAAATCGGTTGCAAATTTTTGTAGACATTCAGATCAATAAACACAGAGAGGGTTAGAATGAGGAGCAAAAATTTGTCATTGTTGATATTTTTGCTCCTTATTGTCATTGTCTCTAAAAATAATAACTTAAAATATTGTGTTTTAGCACAAATAAGTGAAATCTGTTTAAAAATCTTCGTAATTAAAAAAAAATGGAAATTATAGGGGTGTGTACATCTCACACTATCGGATTCGTAAATGTTCTGTAGAAATAATGGTGCAGTGTAGAACTACACTATCAAATTCGCATATAAAGGGTGCGCAATAATTCGCGCCCCAGAAAAAAATTTCAAGTAAGATAACATACCAGGAACTTGGAAAAAATGTTTTAAAAACTCTATATCAAAAAATTTTGACAATTATTTTTGTGACATTTGCCATTTTTTATGTCTATTTAATAATACTGATGAGTACAAAAATTTTGTCAATAAAAGCTACAAATGACATTAAACAGAGTTACAATTTAGAATACAGCTTCCTTGTTTCCTCTTCTAATAGACTGTAGCAAAAAAACTTGGAAAATTATTTTTTCAACAGAAATAAATAGAGTCAAAATGCAAAATTTAAACTCTCATAACTTCGAAATTTTTCTACATACACTTTTTTAACATTTTTTCCATGTTCCTGGTATCTTACCTTACATGGCATTTTCCCTAGGGCGTGAGTTCTGGCGCACTCTGTATACAAAAAGCAAAGACCATTTTTTAACTGAAAAACTCACTAGACTCGATGATAAAAAATGTCAAAAACTGAAATTTAATCGACCATTTTAATAATAAAATTTCAAGATAGTAAAATCTGTTGCAAATTGCTGTAGAAAAGCACATCAATAAACAGAAAGAGGGTTAAAATGTGGAGCAAAAATTTGCCAATGTTCTTTCTTATTTTTATTGTCTCTAAAGATAATTACCTAAAATGTTGTGTTTTAGCACAAATAAGTGCAAAATTTGTGAACTATGTATGTATTTCAACATCTTTGTAAAAAAATTACAGAAAAAGCAAAGATTTAAACACTTTTTGAATTATTAGAGTGAATAATAAGATTTTTGAGTTTTTTTTTAACTGAAAAATTTCAACTCTGTAAAATCATTATTTTCGACTACAGAGGTCCGTGGACATTTTTTGCTCCTTATTTTAATTCTCTCTAGCTATAACTCCTTAAAATAATGTTTTTTTTAACACCACTCACTAAGAACGAAATTTGAACAATAAATAGAGTGTGAATTTTTTCCATGTTTGTGGTATCTTATATTACTTTGAATTTTTCTCTGGGGCGCGAGTTCTGAAACACCCCTGTATAATTTCAAAATCTTCGTAGATAAAAAAATATGTTAAAAAGCATAGAGCTAAAAAGCAACATTTTTTGTTCGAAATGGCCTCTTCATTAAACATTTTTTGAGAGTTATTATGGTGAATAAGAAGGTTTTTGATATGTTTTTGATTAAAAATAAAAAATCTGTTGCAAATTGCGGTAGATCATTGGATCAATAAGCAGAAAGAGGATCAAAATGTGGAGCAAAAAATTGTCAACAACTAAACTAAATATGTATTTAGTTTAGAGTTCTGTTGATATTTTTACTATTCTAGACGTTATCACTACGTAAAATACTGCTTTTTAACACAAAAAAGCCAATTTGAGAAATCTATTTCAAAATTCACGTAACATTTTTGTCCCAAATTGCCGTTTCATTTAACACTCAGATTTCTGATGATTTTTTAAAGAAATGATGCTAAATAACTGGCATTTAGTTTGCTGTTTAACATTAAAATTTCAACATTGTAAAATCTGTAAGAAATGCAATAGACAACTCGGTTAAATAGTTAAATCATTACAACCTAGCAAAGGATGTTTTTAACTTTACTGTTAGCAATTTGGAATAAACATTAGTGGAGAATTTTATGTCTCTCAGTACTACTTCTAGGAATATTAAATTCTCAATAATGGACTTTTTTTGTTACTTTGTAATGCATTCAGTGTCTCATAAATCCGTTTTAAATTCCGGACTTGCAAAACAGCGACCTTTACTTACAGGAACTAACAATTATCATTTTCCTTATAAGAATTTTTCTCATGTGGACAACATTTCAATGTTGTTACACATTTGCATACATCACATCATCCTCGTCAAAAATCCGTTGCAAAAGAAACGCTAATGGCGTCCCCATTTATTTAACTATTTATACAATCGTTGCAAGAATTTTTAAAAAGTTAATGCCACACCGCGTGATTGTTAAAATTTAGCAACAGATGATTTGTTTGCTCACTATGACTCGGCAAATTTATCGAATCATCGCCGAAAAAATGACATTGCCATCGAAAATTGCACTGACATTGCAATTTCAGGTCATTAAAATCAACCACATCGACATTGAATCGCAAAATCTCGATAAACTATAAATATACAATATTTCGATATTGCTAAACTAGACTTTAGAAAGCAGGTATCCTGTAACAAGTGCCATTACAAAACTGAAAAAACTACGAGTGAACGTAAATCGGTCTCGGCAAAGTAAGCGTGACTTGCAATTTCACTCCCCTGAAAAAATTGTTCGAGCCGAAATTTGAAATTCAGTCAAGGACATTGATTACAGCATCACCGAAACGGTACTTGCTAAGCATCTATTGCCAAACTAACTGTTCATTACTGACATATTTTCTCAAGTCAACGACCTGTCAGCAACTAATGTAATCGAATACGTTACAAAGGTGCCCTCCGGTATGTCACCTCGTAAAAACCATCGGCCCTTAAGAAAGCCAACACGAAATGGATATTACGCTGGAAGTAGGTCAGCTTTTATCAGACTTCGTTACACTCCACGGAGCCACTTCCTCGATTGATTCGTTGGGAAATTTTGACGAGTTTTCGAAAATTTTACGTGACTTTTGACACGACAATCAAATTACACAATGCTGGAATATTTGCTAGCAATGAAAAACCAATTTCGATGTATTTAACGTTTAACGTCTCATTGTTTGGAATTAATTACAAATTAAGTCAATTCAAACCGTTTATATGCCTTAGACCACCAAGGGAAAGTAGTTACAAATAAACACGACGCGATTTGAATCCGATATTAAAATTGTTGAAACATTTTCTTGCACAATTTCGTCAAAAATTCGACTTCCGTCGAGAAATGCTGAATCGTCTCCACTAATTAAAAATTCCTGTTTTCGTTACGGACGACCTTTCAACCGGTTTTTTCCATGTGACAATTGTATTGTATTGTAAAAAGTGTGACTACAAAGGACTCGCAACTGACCGTGAAAAAAAATTTTTCTAAATTACATTGTGTTCCAAAAACAAAATTGTTAATTTTTTGATAGGGTTTTAACCGGCGCGTATCGATCGTCCGCCGCCGAGATAACAAAGCAAACATCGAGAGAACTGTATTTTTCTCGTAGGACAAGAAAAATGTACTTTTGTTTGAGTGTTTGCTCGTAAAATATTGCTCCTTATCTTTATTACTCGCAATGAATTATCCCTCCAAAAATTCGATTTCAAATACCAAAACGGTGTGTGAGTTATCTATTAACGTACTTTTCATATTTTAACGTTTTTCTCAAACTTTGTTGTTTGTAAACATCACCTTGAATGATAATAAAACTGCATAAAACTACAGATAGTTGAAGCGTGAGTCAAGTAAATAAAATTCTCGGAAACGAAATTTAATTAATTAAACTTGACAGAAACACTATTAGAAAATGAAATTCAAGGTCGTCTTTCTTTGAAAGTGAAATTGGAAAGTTTCATTTTCATGTGGTCGAAAAAATTGATCGCTTTTTTTGGGTTTGAACGCACTAAAAGCCTCTTAAAATTATTTCAGGTTCGCGGGTTCATAATCTTCCATCACAATTAAAGCTTTATTTCTCAAGAACATTAAACTTTATTTCGGGTTTAAAGCCACCACTTTGATTGTTTATCTCTCTCGCGAACTTTTCCATTTGATTAATAAACCTAGTAATTCATTATTTATTTGTTATTAATTACTGCAATTATTTTAAACGCTTTCTTCCAGCACGAATTCTAGTTATTTGCAAGGTTCACGTTTTTTTGTTTATGAAATAATTCAATTCAGCGAATTCAGAGAAAAATCAAAATACATGAGGATTATCGATGCGCAATTACCGCAAACAAGGTTTTAATGTTGTTAATTATTGTTTAATGTCTATTACAAATGAAAAGGATTTTTAATTATTTTATTCACAATCGTAAAGTATTATTACTTTGCATRTGAAAAGTTGGAAAGTATGACATTTCATGATATGAAATTTTAGRTTRAGGTTGGGAAGTGGTCACTTCCTTATCAGTTGATATGTAATATGATGTTTGTCAAAATTTGATAAATTCTTTATTGATTTTGTGTTCCTTAGGGAGGATGATTGTGAATAAAATAATATAGAAACCTTGGTGGTCGTTGCTTCATCTCACCTCACCGCGTTGGTCATCAAATTTCACCTTTGTAATGAAACACCTCCCACCTCGGTATACAGGGTGCGCCAGAACTCGCGCCCCAGAGAAAAATTTCAAATAAGATAAGATACCAGGAACATGAAAAAAATGTTTAAAAAATTCTATCTGTCAAAAACTTTTGACATATATTTTTTGACATTTGACATTTTTTTATGTCTATTTAATGATACTGATGATCTTGTATATGTTTTTTTTACAATTATTTAGTAAAGGTACAAAAATTTTGCCAATAGAAACCACAAATAACATTAAACAAAGTTACAATTTAGAATAGAGCTTCTAATAGACTGTAGCAAAAAAAACTTGAAAAAATTATTTTTCAACAGAAATAAATATAGTCAAAGTGCAAAATTTAAACTCTCATAACTCTCATTACAGATATGTTTTTTAACATTTTTTCCATGTTCCTGGTATCTTACCTTATATGGAATTTTTCTCTGTGGCGCGAGTTCTGGCGCACCCTGTATAATCTACTATTTCACGTTGAGTGAATGTAATGTCATGAAAATGTCTGCATCACTGCCTTAGAGCCACATTCAAAAGTAATTGACTCTGATTTAAATAATTGTATACATCAGTTTAGAAAAATCACAAGGCGAGGTTTCACTGTATATGCAGTTGATTAATCAAATTTTGACAGGCGGCTGTGTTCGCATTGCTGACCCACAATTCAAAATCGAGAAAGTATGAAAGTACCTGATGAAAATTCATCATTTTAGAAAAATTTCGCCGGAATTTCATGCTCCATAAAATTACAGAAGCGAATTAATTAAAATAATTTACGCGAGAAACAGTAATAAATTAAACAGTAATAATTACGTTGAACTTTAGTACCATCGCAATGGTACTACACGTTTTGCAACTACCAACACAATTCATTTCAATGGTTTTTCTCTCGATTTTTCGGCTGCTCTACTTTTTCTCTCTTGTAACCTCCGGTCGTGTGAACTTTTCTCTCACAATAAAAACACAGCCACAAAATTGCAAAAAATGAAATTATTTCTGAAAAATCCTGAAAATGTTCGAAATATGTTTTTTCACACAATGCAACTGGTTAAAATGCTCTACGATGAGTATTTTTCGAGATATTGAGCCTACTTTTCCCTCTCATACAATAAAAAACCATCGCACTTTCTCGTAAGCAAAGATCACACCAAATGATCGATTTCAGACCCTTGCCTCTATATTTTACGCTTCGCTGCTAAGCTGGAATTCGGTTCGAAAACACAACAGGTCGCCAACACCGCCCTCAGACTTGTGCAAAGGATGAAAAGGGACTCGATACATTCGGGCCGACGTCCTTCAGGACTATGTGGGGCAGGTAATCGACGCAATTTTTCATCAACAAATTGAATTTTTACAACACCGTTTCTATCCACAGCTTTACTCATCGCCGCAAGATTGCACGAATTCGGACGCTCGGCCAGCGACATCGTCAAAATCGTCAAAGTGCACGAGTCCACCCTAAGAAAAAGGTACACAAGTAACCGTCATTTGTAACAGTTACACGCAGAATAACCGTCACTTGTAACGGTTAACTAGTTACAAATAGAACTTTAAACTTTAGTTTCTTGATGGTTACTACCTAAGCAGTAACTGTCATAATAATTACGATTACTTAGTCACTTAGTCATTTACTAAACACACTGATCGAATTTAGGGACACCCCGTACATAATAACCGGCATTTGTAACCGCTAACATAGCTACAAACTATACTTGAGCTTGTTGACAGTTAGGTAATAAGAAAACCGTGAATTATAACCACCAAATTGTAACTATCAAAGTAAGTAAGATTAGGGTTGCTTTATTTCATTTTTTGGTAAACGAGTTCGGGGACACAAGTAACCGTCATTTGTAACAGTTACACGCAGAATAACCGCCACTTGTAACGGTTAAGTAGTTACAAATAGCACATTTAACGTTTACCACTAAGACACTTCTCGTCATTTTATACACAATTTTAACTGTTTTGTCGATTTAATAATGTGTTACTAATTTACGTAATATGCTATAGTTTTCAATAGTTATAAGTGCTACCTTCAACCACATACAATTGACAAAAATGATGAAAAATCATTTTATAAAAAAACTTCTCACTTAGTAATTTTCTTATAAGCCCTGATGATGAAATAATAAAATTTCGAAACGTCGGCTATTTAAGGAAAAGTCTTTTATTTGTCCTCAACTCGTGATCCACTATATAAACAAATGATGCAGGACGTTAACACAACTAACAATAGCACATTTAACTTTAGTTTCTTGATAGTTACTACCTAAGCAGTAACTGTCATGATAATTACGGTTATTTAGTCATTCTCAAACACACTGATCGAATTTAGGGACTCTCTGTATAGAATAACCGTCATTTGTAACCGCTAACATAGCTACAAACTATACTTGAGCTTGTTGACAGTTAGGTAATAAGAAAACCTTGAATTATAACCCTCAAATTGTAACTATCAAAGTATGTAAGATTAGGGTTGCTTTATTTCATTTTTTGGTAAACTGATCGAGTTTGGGGACACCTTGAGGAGATTAACCGTCATTTGCAATGCTTAACGTAGTTACGTAAGTACTTTTAACTTTAGCTTGTTACCGGTTACTAAGAAAACCGTGAATAACAACCAAATCGGTAACTGTCATAGTAACTACGATTAGGATAATTTTTTTCCATATTTTGGTGGAATGACCGAGTTCGCGGAGACCTTAAGTAAAGTAACCGTCATTTGTAACTATTAACGTAGTTACAAACTATACTTTTTACTTTGGTTTCTTAATGGTTACTAAGAACACCATGAATTACAACCAAATCAGGAACTATAATAGTTACTTTGATTAGTTGTTTTTTTTCATTTTTGGGACTCCTAAGCAGAGTAATTYAGTCATTTGGAACCGTTAACATAGCTACAAACTATACWTTTCACTTTAGCTTGTTGACGGTTAAGTACTAAGAAAASTGTCAATTATAACTACCGAATTAGTAACTGTCATAGTAACTAGGATTAACGTTGCTTTGTTCCAATTTTTGGTAAACTGATCGAGTTCGGGGACACCTTAAGGACAGTAACCGTCATTTGCAATGCTTAATTTAGGTAAATACTATAGTTTTCACTTTAGCTTGTTAACGGTTACTAAGAAAACCGTGAATAACAACCAAATTGGTAACTGTCATAGTAAAAACTATTAGGATTATTTTTTTCCATTTTTTGGCGGACTGAACGAGTTCGCGGACACTCTAAGTAAAGTAACCGTCATTTGCAACGGTTAACTACAAACTATTCTTTTTACTTTGGTTTGTTAATGGTTAACTAAGAACACCGTGAATTACAACCAAATTTTTTTTTTCATTTTTTGGGACTCCTAAGCAGAGTAACCATCATTTGAAACCGTTCACATAGCTACTAACTATACTTTTCACCTTAGCTTATTGACGGTTAGATACTAACAAAACCGTGAATTATAACTACCAAATACTAAACTGTTATAGTAACTAGGATTAAGTTTGCTTTGCTCCAATTTTTGGTACACTGATCGAGTTCGGGGACACCTTAAGAACAGTAACCGTCATTTGCAATTCCTAACGTAGTTACAGACTATATTTTTCACTTAAACTTACTAATGGTTACTAAGAAAACCGTGAATTACTACCAAATCGGTAACTTTCGTAGTAACTACGATTAGGGTTATTTTTCTTTCCATTTTTTGGTGGACTGACCGAGTTCGTGGGCACCCTAAGCAAAATAACCGTCATTTGTAACAGTTAACGTAGTTAACTATACTTTTTACTATRTTTGYTAATGGTTACTAAGAACAGTGTGAATTACAATTAGCGTTGTTTTTTATTTATTTTTGAGCAGAATAACCGTTAACGTGGTTACTTTAGCTTGTTGACGGTTGCTGAGAAAACCAACCAAATCAGTAACTGTCATAATAATCACGGSCAGAGTTGATTTCTTCATGTTTGGTAGACTGATCGAGTTCGGGGACACCCCGAGCAGCGCCCTGACGCTGGAGGAGTTYATGACCGTAGACCTAGAGGAGGAGCAGGACCCGCCGTCGTTCAAGGCGGCGCGTAAAAAGGACAAAGAGCGTCTTCAAAGGGTAAATAATCTTGTCGCTTTGTGTGTGTTTGCTTGATTTTTGTGTCGCAGTTGATGGAAGAGGAGGCTGAGAGTATAACCGAACTCCAGCAAGAGATCGAGATGCAGTTGAATAGAGATGCGAAAATGAAATCGAGAAAAAGTAAGTATCAAAGCGAAGCACTCCGGTGAAGTGTAAGCGTTTTCGTGTCGGGCGAGTAATTTTTCCGGTCGTTGTGTTGACAAAAATCAAAGTTTGGCGGRTTGAAAACGCTCTTATTTTGGACGAAGTCGGTGGTGTGTTAATTAAGTTGGCTCGAGGCTGTGCTTTATGTTGYAGAGAAGGAAAGGGACACGGAGGAGATACAGGAGACCAATCGGTTTATTCAGGAGTCGACKATGGGGACCATCAATCAGATTATTCAAGAGGAGGCGATCGACGATCCCCAAATTGGAAAAGAAMCGGTCAAGGAATTGGGTGAGTGATTAATTCATTATCTAAAAAAAACACGAGTTAAATTACCAGTAAAAAGAAATTAAGGATAAAGGAGCACAATGCGAATAAAAATGATTAATTGCCGTCAAAGTGTTCGACATGTAAACAATAATCCATAATGCGGAGATGCTCAACAATATTTGTAAAATAATATTCTAAAACATGAAAATCAATTACAAGGGATAAGTGGTATTCGTTATTGTGTTTGGACATTTATGACTACAAAGAAAACAAGGCTAGTGGAAAAATTACAGCGATTCAAAAATTTCAGTCAAAATAAGTCGTTTGAAATTATAATTTTTTAATAAATTATTTATTAAAGCGTTTTATTATTTTCCGGACGCGTCCTTTGTGGATTTGCTTTTCAAAAGTAAAACGTTGAAAATGTAAATAACGTTTTAATGAACATTTAAAAACCTTGTGATTTTGATTAACCCTCACCCAATAAATTCTTACGATGTGACGGCTACTATAGTTACGGGTAATAACTGTCAATTTTGACAACTATCACCATGGATACATTTCCACAAAATCAAACAATACTTAATTACTGTCATTCTCTCATTTCTTGACCCTTACCAGTGTGGTAACTTTGTAATTCAATCATGTGGTAACCCGTTTTACGACTGTTATTTCTTGCCCTACAGATTGTTATCGCGGTTACGGTAACTGTCATTATTAACGGTTATTTTTATATCGTAACTGTCAATTTTGCCAACTATMATCATAGATACAACATTTTCACATAATCAAAGAATACTTCATTGCTGCCATTTGCAACGTAACGGCCAAACAACTCTCATTTATTGACAGTTAGTAAGATGTAGTAACTGTTTGACGGTTATCGTAACTGTCATTTGTGTGTGGTAACCCGTTTTACGACTGTTGCTTAATGGGCAACAAGTTGTTATCGCAGTTATGGTTAGTAACTGTCATTATTAACGGTTACCGCATGTTTTTCTTGTCAAAAAATAATGTTTAGGTCCGGATATCGCCAGTATGGGTCTGGCTAACAACTGGCCAAACAACTCTCATTTATTGACAGTTAGTAAGATATGGTAACTGTTTGACGGTTATCGTAACTGTCATTTTTGTGTGGTAACCCTTTTTGCGACTGTTGMTTAATGGGCAATCGCGGTTACTGTTAGTAACTGTCATTATTGACGGTTACCGCGKGTTTTTCTTCTCAAAAAATAATGTTTAGGTCCGGATATCGCCAGTATGGGTCTGGCCAGTTCTCTGGAGGACACTTCAAATGCCGTGCAGCCGCCGCAGCCGCTAGACGTGGACATGACCTTCGACGATATCGACGACGAAGAATTAGATTCTTATATTATGAGCGAGCACGAATCGCAAAATAAAAACGCCATTTGGTTGGAGCGAAATGCTGACTTTTTGGAAGCGCAAAAAAGTAAGTAAAGAAAATTCCTTTCGACATTTATTTAATATCTAAAAAGCCCACGAGTGACGTCAACGTTTCGTTAGAGATTTTTTCAAGCAGCAAAATCGAGAGTTAATTTGCAAAGACGCGCCCGAGATTTATGCAACTTGCATTCAATTATCTAAGTACTTTGAATTTGCGAATTAGTCTAAGGGAGGAGTGGTAATTGTCTAATAGTTAATTGTTATCATTGTTGGGTAATGAAAGGCGTGCTTTGTTGGCTTTTAGGAAGAATCGTCCAGGAAGTTTCTACATTAAATTACATCAATCAGCGATCCGTTCGCCTTTTGCAATTTCGTTAATTTTAGTCATTTATTGTCGCTTAAAACGTTTATTTAAAACCTCTTTTATATTGTGTCATACATTCAGCAGCGCGATCATCGATTATAACCACGTCGTGCTACTGATTAATTGAATTTTACCCTTCCGCGGAACTTCCAGTTGGCACATTCACAAATTGGATGCGATTAAATTCAAATTCATATAAATCCAGAAATTATGGGTTCGAATTAACGTTATCGCAAAATCGAAACGTGACCCGAATACCAGAAACGCAACTTATAAACGAATTAT